AAAACCGCAAAAGCCAACAATAACAACCTACGACCATTTAAGCATTTTGATATGATACCTGGGTGCGCAATTATTGCACATCCGAATCTGTGGCATGACAGTTTCTGTACGAAACGTTGATGTGTCCGAACTCAGCACATTCCATCACCAGTGCAATGGTGATGATGGGAAAAGATACGGTGCTGTTGCTGTATGGAAACACAAAGCTAACGCCCACTGACCACTGCAGACATACCGAGAGACAGACAGACACATCAGCGATAAAAGCAAATATTGTTTATTAAACATTAAATTAAAATGTAACAGCAATTAAAAACTAATTCAATTGACACAATACTCTTTCTGTCTATCACTCAGTCAGTCGGTCAGATATCAATTCACTGATCATCTGATTCACTGAGATGTGGACATGACAAACCTTCTTTTTTCGCGTTTCAATTTAGCCTTGCATTAGGATTCAAGCCACAGTAAATAATTGCTAATGACTATCACTGATGTAACAATTTAGTTGTAAAGAACAAAGTTGTACAGAGCAAAAATAACATTTTAAAATCAGATGGGTAAGTACAAATTAATTATTTGTACAAACGTGGCATAACAGACAAAGTTTAAATTATAGAAATAAACATAAGCAAAATTTGTAATTTTTTCATAAACATGTATGTATTTTCGATCTGAACACAACTAAATAACTGAGGATAATCTCATTCTTCCATTGACATATACATCAACAAATCACATGCTATCTGCGTCCCTACATTCTCCAATATATTACAAGTTATGGGGATTTCATTTACATTTTTTGTCTGGCTTACTAACGGCCGTGCAATTCTTTAACTAGTTAACGACAGAGTAACAGACAGTTACCGATAACTACAAAATCTGATTTTCTTATGATTTCGCTAATTAACGAAATTTGTCGCTGTTAGCGAACAAAAGAAAGTTGTCGCTAAGAAATATCAGTGGAAGTAAAGTTTAAAACTTTAAATTTGATGTCTTTGGCTAATAAACGAGCAAAACATGTGTTGCGTCAAATTTCATGTAACGCTATTACACTTTTGTCGATAACTGCAAAATTAATTAGAGAAACCCACTACCGGAATGACGAATTATTGAGAATAGGTATTTAGGAATTAAAAAAGAGTGCATCCTTTGCTAAGAATGTGGCGAAATTATTCACAGTGCCAGTTCCATATATATTTTTTTACTAAAACGGGAACAATCGTCAGCAATTCTCTACAATAAAACAAAAGCCTATTTGGCCAGGACACATATCTCTCCATCTCATTATCTGAGAAATATGCACTAAATTCATGGAGTATGTATATCTTCGGGAGTGAAAAGTTGCCAGAAATTTTATTTTTAAAGGAAATTGTGAATTATTTCTGCAATTCCTGCCTTGTGCTTGGTAACATAACAATCAACATTATAATTCCTCGTAAATATATAATATGTTTCCTTTTGTTCGTATAATTTTTCTGTATGGTTTTAAATAAAAAATGGAAATTATTTAAAATCCTAACTTCTAACTTTATTCGATTTTGTGGGATCTCACCAACATCCCCTTCATGTTATGTGGTTTTCTCCAACATACGAATTCGGGGAACAAAATTATTATATATAAACAAAACCGATTGTTGCGTTTTTAAAAGTCTATTTGATACAATAAACCTCTTCAGGGCTAAATTGAATTTGCCCACATTCATTTGAAGTGAAGCAACCTATCTGGTTATGCACCATGGATTCTTCCACATTTCAATATTTGAAAAAAACCCTGCGCCGTTTTGTACCTAAACGTAAGGAAATGCTGGCTGAACAACGCAAATCAATACAACACTTTTATAACTTTTTCGTTGTAGCCGCTGGTATTAAATAGATGGGTAATGTTTCAGGTTGAAGGCTTTTTGGCAAATTCCAGTAGTTAAGTTCAATGGCATGGCTGGCTAAGCATGTAATGGATATTGTTTTAGAATAAAACACGTTAAAAAATGCTCAAGCAGCAATTTTTTGTTAGCACAAATCAAAATAATGTTATTGACAGTCGGTTGTTATTGCATTATTGTTGACAATTTTAAAAGAGGCAGCCGGACATTAACTTTCAAGGAATCATTCCAAACAAAAGGGACGTAGTCACATTTCTTGCTTCACCTTTTTTCTTTACAATTTGTTTACCATATTTACCCACAAAATACGATTCTGTAGCAACTGTACTTCATTATTATTTTTTTAGACTGAGCTGCCGAAATACATCCCGATAGTTGTACATAAACAGCAACAATTTTGCATCAACACTCTTATAAAACTTATGCAAAAACGACATATCCTTAAAGGATTTCTGTCCCTTTGAAGCGATCGTATTGACAAGCAATACGAACAAATTAGTTTGGTTTTCCTTTTTCATCTCACAGAGGATGTCTGTGTTTTGAATTTTAATACTGAAACAAGGTACATATATATATATATATACATACGCAGGTATGCACACGACACAACAAACAATCGAAGAACGAGCATAACATGAAGATCACACTCTCACCGATTATAAAGACCAAAGAACGCACAGGTAAAAAATGGGAACTACCACCACCATCACCTTTGAAATTTGATGAATACTTTTGTTCGATTCTTTCCTTCTGGCAAGGGTAAGTAATACAGTAAATTTCTTAGCAGATCCCATAATGTACACACATGTTGCTGTACATTCCATGCAGGGTTTCTGTTATCGATTATTTTAAGGTTCTTGAAGAAGAAGATGACGATTTTAACGAATTCAATAAGTCTTTTATATCAGAATATTTAAATAAAAAAAAACAGTTTTTTTTTTCAAAATTCTGCTATAGAGTTTCAGAAAAAATTGTAAACCTGTGTAGTAAATTGTATGAAAAAGGCAGCTGCATTATGATATTTCTTAAACGCCAACCAAACACAAAAACTAGTCAAATTTTGCCAAGCAAAAAGGGCTTGCAAGGACTTACAGGAAACCACGAAAGGTGTTTGTTCAAAGGAATATGCTGAAAACTGCATGAGGCAACATGTTGTTCCGTAAGACTTGCTTTCAGCTCCCGTCGCTTGCTTGCTTTGTACTTGCATCTGTCGTCGAAGTCTCAACAAGTTGTTCAAAATCGTCGTCGTAACGAATAAGACCAGTTCACTGCTGAATAAACAACAACATGTGGTGGTTGGTTTTTAGCAATAAACGACAACGTTTCGCAAAACAATTCCTTAGGGGTTGTGCGGTGGCAGCATGTACAAAAAGGGTGCTAAACGCACACACACCATCGCAAAACCTGAAGACGTTGGACAGTATTTAAGTATGAAGGCATTTTTTAGGTCTATTGGAACAATTGGGTTCCGTTGAAATAAAAAATTCTAATTGGAATTTTATTTTGCTATCAACATTTCATATGGCAATATAAAGGCCGAAAGGATTATCGGCAAATTTACTGTAATGCCAATCATAAACTATCGAATATCTCTCAGTACTACGACTTTGTGCTAGGCCTTTGTATTATAATTTGCATTCGATTAACATTCAATATGTTTGTCTTCATTCAATGGAAAAATATTCATGAAGTTATCTAATTAAATACTTTTAGCAAATGTCCTATAGATGTGATGGCAACTTTCTCCCTCAGCAGAAGCAGAACGAAATCGGTGCACCAAAATGCTATTCGCTAAAGAAAGTTGATAAAATATTGATCAAATGTCTCATACCTTTCACCCTTCGTTGGCATGGAAAAATCACCAACCAATTCTGAACTGAGGCGGTAATTTGGATTATGGCCCCGAAAAATTGTTATAGATATGCACATCATTTTGACACATGACCACTTTTTTATTCTGAGGACTTCCTCCATGCGATTTGGATTGTTTGGAACTTTGCCATTTAGTGTGATTAAACAAAAAAAGTTTGCCTCTTGTTGATAACAAAATACATATACCAACAAAAAAACAAAACAACAATAGAACGATGTGCTATAATTAACCAAAAAATGTGGGACTTATACTCACAGCACACAAAGTTTTATACCTACTATTTTAATTTAGCAAAGAAAACAGAGCAGAAAAGAGCAAAAGAATTGTTTGATTGACAGTAAATAACATAAACTGCTACGTGGTTATATCTGAACATATGCTGGCAAATTCATCGAAAGGGAAGGGTATTGCATATACTTTTGACGGTACGAATATCACACAACTTTATTTTCAAAAATATACTTCATCATCTGCGTAAATACCTACTTAAGGACTGTAAAAAATTATCTACAAAGAAAGTACAAATAAAAACGGTTTGCTGAAAAATATCACCAGGACCGACATACTTTTATGCAGCAGCAAAGATAAGCTGCCACACACACATTGTGTCAAATTAAACCTTGCAATAATGGATTCGAGTATGCAATTTACAAATACTAACCAGGATTTTTACTAGTTTAGGGGGGAGGTTTCTCCAATTCTAATAATGCTATAGGAAACGAAATCAATAATGCCTACCAAGAATTGGTATGCTGTGAGAATAAAATTCAACCTAAACTAAAACTTGAGCCATGCCTTCTACAAGTATACAATTATACAAAAATCATTAACATCTGTAGCCCCGAAGGTAGGTTATTTGTGCACGAGGCGATCATAAGCATTGTTAATGATTGCCTGTTGCTAATTTCGTCTTTTTTAATTTTATTAAAAAAATGGCTAACGTTGTTTATTTTAACGATTGTTCTGTAATTCAAAACAATCCCTTGGCCCGATGCGGTCGGAGGTTTTCTATTCATATGTAAGTCGTAGATGTTTGCCTGATTAGAGTGGCGCCTGAAAATTACAATACATTACTGATGTTTGAATTTCAAAACAGAATTTGCACATGCCATATGCATGAGTTTCTAATACTGTTGCTCCACACAAATGGCAAATATCGATTGCATACCTACATAGCTAGCTATTACACATAATTTTACTTAATAACACCTTGCCGTCTCTTATCATTTCGAACATTGACTTACCTCCATCATCCATTCGGCCACAATTTTTCTCATTGGCGGAGTAATGTCCTTTTGTATCGTTTTGAAATACGTACAAATTGGCTGAGGTCTCTTCTCTTCAGCCTTTAGTGCATTCTCCAGGCATCGATCGGTCAAGTATGTTGGGTCTTCTGTGGCTGTGTTCACATAATCCAATGAACGATGTATCAAGTGATTCGTGTAAACATTTTGTCCTGTCGATGATGTCACACTCCCGGAGGAGGAGGAGTGCTTTTGGTTGTGAGGCGGTTGTTGGTGTTGGGTCGGAGCACATGTTTCCAAATAAGCAGAGTTTGCAGTTTCCTCACATGCCACCACTTTGGAAGAGTGACAACTGCTACTACTGCTGCTGCTGCTACTGCCGGTCGAATTGTAGCCCGATGAATTTGTTGTTGAAGAGCAACAACTGGACGATGACAACGATGAGCTGCTCGAATACAGCGACGTTGGCGAGATATTGCTGTTGTTGTTGCTTATTGACGATTGTTGGAGCTGTTTTTGTTCTGTTTTTAACGGCGACGACGACGACGTTGACTGTTTTTGAAGAGTTTGTTGGTGGTGACACAATGTTTCCGTTTCATACTCGTGTATTATATTTTCCGTGCACAAAAGGTCCATTGTGGATTTATGATGCTGTGTTTATCGGATCGTTTGGGAATTTACGAAGAAGCTGTGCGCGAGTGCAGTTTTATAACAGTTCACTCTGGTCACCGGCTCTTTCCCCAATTCAAATATTCACTTCACTTTGTTTGCTAATATATTGAGGTTATGATCGATCGCACTTCTCGTTTTATTTCATTTAAGGTTCAGACAACGACTGCGACCCAAATATCTTCAAAGCACTTGTTTCGCACCGGATCGATCGACAAACATCCAAACACAATTTGATACAATTTTAAACAATCTTCTTAATTTCACTTGCAAATAATTGTTGGTATGTCACTGTGTTTTAGACATTCAACAAGTTCCCGACTGGATTCTTCTATTCGTTCGATATCATTTGTTTTATTTCGTCACGTTCTTTCGTTTCTTTTCCCAGCATTAGAAAACCAAAAACAAAATATCGTTAAACAAACCCAAAAACAAAGTTCTTGTTGTTTTTTGTTTTTATTCGTTATTTTCGTATTTTACTTTTTCTCGTTGGAGCAACACAAATTAACCCGCACTCAATCACTCACTCACCGACTCACGCCAACAGAATAACAGAATGAACTAGGGATACGTAAGTCGCATTTCGATCAATCGATTAATCGACTTTTTTTGATTAGAAAGTCTGAAAGTCGATAACGATTCTTGTCTGTGGTGAAAATCGCGACTTTTCGTAATCGATGTTCGATTTTTGTCGCCTTTTCATTGCAAACCTACCTAATACCCAACACAATGTACAAATATACTCTCCTTTCCTACTATGTTAAAATGTTTTGTACGGCCCATGGCAGAAGAATACAGGTAGATGCATCAACGCTTAGGAGCATTGATATGTCAAAAAAATTTTAATGTTTTTTCAAATATAAGTAGATTTTATATGTTTTCTTACACTACGTCATTCGTTTTTTACAAACGTTTTTTACAAATTTAAATAGTTTTTCTTTCATCATTTTCAATTCCAAAATTGGTTTGACAGTTCATTGTCCCAGCAGCTGTGTCGACGCGTCTACCTATATTCTTCTACCATGGTACGGCCGTATTATTCAAATACGCATTCATTTTCAGTATACAAAACAACACCAAAAATAAGTTATGCCAATGTTGAAATTGTTAATTTTTTGAACTTTCTACGCTCGGCGTATAACCGTTGTATTCAATTAAATACATGTATTTAGTTCTTGTGGTAAAAACCCCCGAAGGTGTACGTTAAGTATCAAGCATGGTAGAAAAATACAGGTCGTCGCATTGACACAGCTGCTGTAACAATAACATGTCAAACTAATTTTGGATGTTGAATGAAAAATTATTTAAACTTGTAAAAATTCTTGAAAAATGCATATTATAACAACCTCCTATTGTAAAAAGTAAACCATATCTTAAAATCGACATAATAATGACACAAGAACAGAATAGTAAGTTCTGTCAACGTTCAAATTATGCAACTAAAAAAGTGGCTAACGTTCGACACGTTTCCGTAACATCCATATAAATATACAATTTTAAATTGTGTATTGAAACACGTCGAATCTGCAAGAATATACAAGTTTTGCAATTTTTTCCGATATCATAAAGGAAAAATCGGTTATCGTAGTAAAAACTTTTACATTCTCTTAGTTCTGTAACATACTAAAATTTTGACGTAGCGTATACAAACATTCAACTTCACCACTATGGTAAAATGTTTTGTGCGTCCGTATTACCCAAATCCGCCAGATTCATACCTTAATTAATCGTAATATTTTCCAATTACAAACATTTACATTTTTTGTATCAATAATTTTAAATTCAAACTCAGATCTGCATTTTTCTGCAATTTACCTTGTCAAATTTAACTTCATTGAAAAATGTTTCGCATCTCTATTTGTTTAAAAACATTTTGACGATTAGATGTTGTCCAGTGTATAAATTTGACTCAATTGCAAACATATGTTTGCTTGGCGTTACCCACTCAATTCTATAGTGGTACGGACGCATTACCCAAATAAGTCAAATTTACCAAATAATTACATTGTAAAAAGTATAATAATTTAAGTTATTTCACACTTGCTATGGTTATCGTAGTAAAAAATTTTACATTCTTGCGTTTCTAGAACAGAGCAAGTGTGAACTCATTTAAATTTGAATTATTATTTTTCACAATGTAATTATTTGGTACACTTTATAAAATTTAAAATTAATAAAATTTTTTTACAAACAGTATACTTAAAATATAAGCGTGTCCTGTCAGTTTTAAATTTTTTTAGGTTAGAGCTACCACCTGATTAATTTGTTTTATGAAAGTGTCCCCAACTTCTGCCGATTTTCTGTATGTATTTATTGGATGAACCCCATGGTAGAAGAATACAGATAGTCGCATCGACAAGCTGCTAGGACAATGAAAAATTATTCAAATTTGTAAAAATGTTTGAAAAATGCATATGATAGCAATGCAAATCTACTTAATTTTGACATATCAATGTTCCAAAGCGTTAATGCATCTACCTGTATTCTTCTACCATCGATAAAATCATGGTACAATAACGAGATAGAACAGCTTCGTAAAACTACAGAAATACAACCCTGAGGATATGCCCGCTTCCTGTCAGACTCACTCAAAAGTATAAGCAACAAATTGTTTCTTTTTTTCGTATAATTCCTCATTTTCAATTGAGTTAAATAGCGCGAAAATGAATGAAAGCCTTGAAGATTTTTTTTCATTTTTCAAAACAATAATAAGAAGTCGGGCACACTTGTAATGACAACATTTATACAAAAAGATCAAAACATGAATAACCTAAATGACAGACCTAAAAGTCCAATAAGACAATTTCTTAAATCATTCATGAATGAAAAATGTTAAATGAAAGATAAAATAAATCTTTGGAGGAAAAACAATAATTTCTTCTATTATTATTAATGCTAGTTTCATGCGTGATGCAATAAAAAGGTAAGGTAGAGCTACCATCTGATTACATTTTTTTTTCTAAGTGTGCCATGGTTTCATGTACTTTCTTAAAAATGCCTATAAAAATCAACAAACAAAAAAATTGAAAAAAGGGATAACTTTACTATGAATTGTGGGTCGTGCCGTATGAACGGGTTAATTCGTGTACCTAATTTTGAGAGCGAACAACGTGATTGAAATTGCAATGAGAATATAGCATAGGTCGAGTACTCGGCTTTCACCCAAGTTCATAATAGCATGTTTCCATTGAAAACCGAACAACGTTGTTCGCTCTCAGAATTAGGTACACGAATTAACCCGTTCATACGGCACGATTCGTAATTCATAGTAAAATAATTCATTTTTTCAAAAATTTTGTTTGTTGTCAAATATCTTTTCTGCCGATACAAACATTTTGAAAATATTGCATCTTTTGTTTCCAGTTTCCTGTGGAAATTTCAACTCGTGGACAAAATGCGTACCTCGGATGAGAGAGAAAACAAAATTTACTTTCGTTTGAATGTACATACGCTATTCAACATTGTAGTTTTCATTCAAATTTTCAGTCTTCCCAAAAATTATCAAAATTTCATTAAATTTTTCTATTTTCAATTTTTAAATGTCATAATTTATTTTTTCGATAAATGCTTTCATTTGTTAGGGATGGGACACATTTTTTCGTTGTTCTGAGAGTGATTTGATTTGAACAATGTACAAATATGAGTGTTCGCTCAGGAAATTTTGTGTGAAGAATTACGTAGTTTTTTCATAGTTAAGGGTCAAACAACAAATAGAGAGCGAATCAAGTGCAGTGGAAACGCCACATAATCAAGTTCGAGCTTCAGAACTTTGAGTGCTCAAAGTCGATAATTCGCTTAATAGGAAGTTGACTTACCTTCAGCGATGCCAACTTAGTGCTTTTCGCGCTATTTATGGTGTTTTTTAGACCCTCTAAAACGCCAAAATAGTGGGCATAGCGCGAAACGAAAAAAAAGCACTGTACGTACGCTTTTCATCTTTTCTGTTGGTGCTTTTAGCGCGTTTTAGGTTTTTAAATATGACAATGTTTATACATTCGAATATTTTGCTAGTATGACATCTACTTGTCGCAAGTTCTTTACTGCAAATTCTTTACATGTCATTCCTGTCATTGAAGTTCTTTTGTTTACTCTTTTTTAATAAACTATAATAAAACGAAGAATTTTGTGTATTATAAACCAATTGAAGGAAAAGTGAAATGAACGAGAAAAAAAAAAACGTAAAAAACGAGTATACAAAACTTCAACTGAATTTGAAGCTATGGGTTTTATGGGTGAACATAATTGTTTGTAAAAATGTATATGTCTGCAATTTTTAACCACATGTAAAATGTTCCTAATATATCATATTTTTTTAAAAATATGTTTGCACTTAAATACATGAAATATTTATATAAGTTATATCCTTACGTGATAAGGTATCAAAAAAAAAATTTGGATCAACGTGATCCTTGCGCGACACTTTGTCAAAAAGGGCTCGCGATTTAATGTTATCCTGTAAGTTGCACTTACCGCTGTCTTTTATTACGCGTCACTTTATCAAAAAGGATCGCGGACTACTTTTGATCCTGTAAGTTGCAATAATCGAAATTGAACTTACTGCTGCTTTTATTATTAAAACCACGATTTTTCTATTTATTAAAATCAACTTTATTGGTTGGCTGCTGATCAAAGAGTGTCTTAAAAACTACATTACAATATTCGAGTAGGAATTAAATTTTAAAATTAATTTGCCTATTTAACAAAATTATTTTCCATGAAATCATGCCACTCTGTTGTTTAAAATTTAGTTGCTGTTACCAAAAACAATTCTTATTAATTTCGTCTACACGCGTAAAGCATTGCATGGGTTGACGAAGTCAACTACCGGAAATGCATTTTTTGGGTTCATTAAAATTAATCGGAATTTGATGTTGGGAAAATATTTGGAGCAGACTAACGTCTGCAATGCAGATTCATGAGAATTGATTGCTTTGGAATAATTATTAATAAAAGAAACTATACTTTATTGGATTAACAACTTATTGTGTGTTAACTTATATGTTGTTGTTGATTTAAGACACATTTTTCAATGGAATTGTCTGCAATTCTACACAAGGAGTTCTTTGTGAGTACTTTACCCCCTGAAATAGAATTGTCGGTAAGGTCCACAATATCGTATATCCTCAATATATCGGCATCTTCCGATATTGGGTATTTTTGTAGATTTTAACAGAATTTTTAATGGATTTTTTTTTTTTTTTTGTAAATTTCCTAATTCGTTTTAAATGGTGGATGGTATTCAAATTCGGCCCGGCCGAACTTATTGCTTTTTTACTTGTTTAAAAATATGTATGCGCTTATATACATGAAATGTTTATATAAGATACTATCTAAATTTTTGAATAAAACAGTATTTAGTTTAAAAAAAGGTTTTTTATTGACAATTTTGGTTAGAAAAAAATACATAGCGCTTTTTACGCTTTTTTAAGGAAAATGTTTACGCCATTTACGCTTTTCTGGTTTTTAATTACGCTTTTAGCTCTCAAAATGTTGGCAACACTGCTTACCTATCCCTAATGCTATGTTCTCATTACACTTTCAATGACGTTGTTCGCTCTCAGAATTAGGGACACTAATTAACCCGTTCATACGGCACGATTCGTAATTCATAGTAAAATAATTCCTTTTTTTCACAAATTTTATTTGTTGATTTGAATGGGAATTTATACAAAAATAAATGAAATTCTCACTAATATGAATAGATGAAATTATTGTTTTTCTTCCAAAGAATAATTATAACATTAATTTTACAATTTTCATTCATGTTTTCAACTTTTTGTGTAAATATTGACATTTTGAACATATTTTTGTATTTTTCTATTTTTAAATTCTGCTGGAGAGACTTGTCAAAATTTTTTTCTGCCGATACTAACTTTTTGAAAATATTGCCTCTTTTGTTGGCAGTTTTCTGTGAAAATTTCAACTCGTGGACAAATGCGTACCTCAAATGAGAGAGAAAACAAAATGTACTTTCGTTTGAGTGTACATACGCCATTCAACATTGTAGTTTAATACATAATTTTCAGTCTTCTCAATTTTTTTTTGAAATTTCATTAATTTTTTCTAGTTTTAATGTTTCATAATTTCATAATTTATTTTTTCGATAAATGCTCTCATTTGTTAGGGATGGGACATATTTTTCGTTGTTCTGAGAGTGATTTGATTTGAACAATATACAAATATGAGTGTTCGCTCAGGAAATTTTGTGTGAAGAATTAAGTAGTTTTTTCGAATTTATGGGTCAAACAACGAATAGAGAGCGAATCAAGTGTAGTGGAAACGCCGCATAAAGTGGCCTGGAGACGCTCAAAATTTTTCATCAAGCAAGTGCGTATGTATTAGTGTGTACAAACAAGTTTGTCAAACATTCATTTTGTAATTATTTTCGTTGAGTGCAGTCATGTCGTCGTCGGAAGATGAGGGGATTCTCGTGAAAGCAGTTGTTAAAAAAAAAATTGGAAATGAAAAAGAAAAAGGTATGAACAGCGCAAAAGATTTACACATGAGCTGCGAATGAGTAGTATTGATGACCACCGAAATTTTTTGAGGATATTTATTTTTAATATATTTATTTTTTTTTAACATCTTCAACAGTACCATCGGGGTACTGTTCCTTATAAAAATCAAGGAGTATATTATATTGTTTTTTCTTCTCATCCCTATTACTGTACGCGTCTGTCCGCACATTCCACAATGCATCAAGGCATTGGTACATTTCAATAAATTTTATTGTAATGTTTTTTTCGTCCGCGCACTTACTATTCATGTTTACTCCTCAACGTTACAACACAAATGGCATTTTGCTTGACAAACAGTAATGGAGACGTTCAAATAGATTTGCGCAAATAAAAATATCAAAATATTTTGATTTTCCATCAAGCAGAGCCGACAACAAATGTGTGTAGCCGACGAAAGCCGATTAGACTCACATGGACACACACATATAAGCTGCTTGACCAACAAATTTGAGCGTCTCCAGGCCACTTAAACGACACGACTATGAATAGTCGAGTACTCGGTTTCCACCCAAGTCCATAGTCGAGTTCGGCAAACGATAGTAGCAGCTAGTTCCGCGCTCTTTAGTGAAGATGTTCAATTTTCTCATGTCTCATTCGTAAACAACAGAGTACCCCGAGTCTGCTTTCTGTTTATTTTTTATCGGGTGTTCCTTTGTGGCCTTCATATTCGTTTCGTTAGGACGTTTTTCATTTTTGTTCCCAACGCGCTTGAAGCAAAGACGACAATCAACTCCTCGCCATGGAAGTGCAAGTAATTTGTCAATGAAATTTGAATTCGCTGCAACAAAAACAAACTTCAAAACTATGGTAGAAGAATGCAGGTAGTCGCATCGTGTAGCAGACGTACGTTTGTTATTAAGTAGACCTGTAAAAAATACAGAAATATGTAAACTCAGAAAACTTGTTGCAGGCCGTTCACATGCGGCGCAAAAAGGCAACAAATATATGGGGCCGTGTTTTTTGGCAAAACCTGTCCACAACCACCGCAGAAATTATCCCAATTCTGTTGGTAGTGCATCCCATAATTGGTCCTCAAATGGATTTGCTCAGTTTTCCTGGGTTTTTAGTGAGGATGGTGAGGATGCTTCGAGATTTCAATTTGCTTGTAATTTCTGCGGGGTGTGTAGTCCGGGTGGCGATGGGATCAAAATGCCGGAAATGGTTTGTTAGGGTTCGCTACGTACGAAATTAGGCTCGAACAGGGTTGAGTAAAAGAGTATTATAAAGGTAGTAAATGACAGGGTGACTCAGGCTAAGAAGTGACTAGGCAGCCCTATGATTGCTGAGTAGGTGGGAACCTACTATAAATATGATAAAAATTTTGTTTAGACACAATTTGAATGAATGATTATGAAAAAAAAAAGCGGCACGTTGAAATAAAAATTTAAGAAATATCAGAAGAATAGAAAAACAAAAGATTTCGAGAGAAATAATTAAAATGTTTTTGCTGATGTCTCGCTGCCGTATAAGGTTAAAGGAAATTGGCGTTGTTTGGGGTAATTGGCGAGTTGGTGACGTAAGTGAAAAGGGTTGGGCGAATAGTTAGACAGCCGTTGATTTTTAAATGAGAGACTCAGGGGTGAGGTGAAATGAGAATTCACAATAAAAAAAAAAAAATGGCTATTGACAGTTGAAAAGAAAAAGGAATGAAAATTGAAAATGGTTCAGGAAAATGGTGTTTCGTGGAAAATGAGCGTCTGGCGGGATTCACTGAGAAGAGGGGTATAAAAGGCTGCGAGCATAAGAAAAGCCAAAGTTGAGAATAAGACGTTACCGGTGAAACTTAGCTAGAGAGCAGTGAAGAAGTGGAAAAATTTAATTTGTGTGTTGCGATTTTTTTTTATTGTGTAAGTAGTTTGTAACAGTGGTTTGTTGAGTATTGTGTTGTTATATGTGATGTGTGTTGCTCCAACAGGAATATTCCGGTGGTGTATCAAGCCTTTTTTGGAAGCACCGAAAATTGTCCGGTTTTGGTCAGCACAACGGCGGGAAATTGCCTTTTCTTTTTGGTAACGCAAGGTAGTGGCAAGTTGTCCACAGGAAAAAAAAGCCAAAAAAGTTACATTGAGGGTGTGGAGATTTGAATTGTAAACTGGCCAGCTGCAACTTTGAGCTTTTTGCTGTGCCGGTTATTGATCCCGCCCAGAACGCCGGCATTGTAAAAGGACCAGTCAACAAGTCCAGCTTCATTTGAGGGTTTGCCTGGCGTTCAAAATCTGTTTCCTCCGGAAAGAAGCGTAAACTGGAAGGAGAGATAAGAAGAATTAATCAATAACGTTATAAATCACTGCTCAGGTAAAAGGTGTCTTACCGTTGTGTTGTCCTTGATATATATATTTATATATATGTGACGTCCATAAAATTTGCTGTCTCCTTTTTTGGAACTAAAAGAAAAGAAAAAAAAAAGAGTTAATAATCATAAATTTCGAGAAAAAAAAAATATAATATTCAGTATAAAGATTTAGTAATAAGATAGGTTATAGTTCTTAGGATTTAAGTAATAATCAGTTTGTAAGGGAAAAATACCGCGTTTATTTTCAAAGGCTAGGAGGTGTTACAGTAAAATTATCTTGAGTCCTTGTGATTCGATCTGATAGTTTAGGCCGTGGAATTTTAGCGGCAATTAGGCCGGTTAAGAGAGCTCTTTTAGGTGGCTAGTAATTTCGTATAGACGCGGAATATTGCGCGGGAAAAGCAAGGCAAAGGATAATATATTGGTTTCTACCGAGTAATTAAAGCCATAGATTTAAGAAAGCCCGGTATTATTCTTAATTTGTTTTTTTTTATACCATACAGTTTGTCAATTTTAATGTAAGAAAAAAAATAGTAGAGAAAAAAATTAAGAAAATATTTAAAGCTAACTTATTTTTTTTAATAAAATTAAAAATGATTCTTTTGTAAACAGTAGATACTAATATGTGTTGCTAAGTTTGTATAGCTTGGGGGGAAGGTGGTATGAAGTAAGTGTGTGATTCGAAGCGTGTGGTTCAAGGGGATTCAGAGAAACGCAAGAAATGGAAATACTGGATCCAGGTAGGGTGGGCGAGTGTGGGATCGATCCGCCGAGATCCCTGTATGATGACTCCTATTTTGTATATCGTAGAGTAGAGCAATTGTAGTAAAGTCCCCTTTCAATGTTAGTGTGTTGGATTCGATTGGCGGGTTGAGATCCCTAGCCCTGGGAGTCTCTGTGACAGTCGGATGGCCTAATCGTATGCCGAGCAAATGCACACATAACAGAGATGGCGCCCAATATTCTAAAAAAAGCTTTATTGTACCTGATACCACTGTAAAAAAATGGCGACTCAAACATGGCCGTGTTAAACTGTGATATTAGGTTAGTAACTCTGTGCAGTAACATCGACGCACACAGCCATAGAATGCTAGTAGATTTTAAATAGACAAAAGAAAATGTTTTTGACAAATAATATTCTGTGATATTAGTATGCATCCGAACTTTAGAGAGATGGGTTACGAAGTGCGATATTACTATATCAAATATATTATGGGAACGTTTTCTCCACTGTTCTAAGTAGGGTGTAATCAATAGCTTGTAATTCCGAGCTGGAATAAAACAATTTGTATTGAGAATCCTACTGTTAAAATTTGTTTTTGTGAAATAACCCAAATAAATTATAGACAGGAATAAGTACATCGAGTAGCAGCAATAGCGATTTTGATCTGAGAGATGCAAAAATCTTAGTATTGCATATAAAAACCCTGAGCTTTCATTTATGAAATGTAATAGATATGTCATGGGTCCGAAGTTAACAAAGCACTATAATTTATGAGAAGTATAAGAATGTCTAAGGGAAAAGTCATACACCTCATAAAGGGCACTAAAATTATTATTAAAAAAAAAAAAAAAAAAAAAAAAAAAAAATAATAATAATAATAAAAAAATAAATAAATAAAAAAAAACCACACACACACTGCTTCTGAAAATTACACTTCCCCCGTAGATCTATGTTGTAATTATCAAATTTGAAAATTTGTATGTGTAATTGTAATTGAATGTATTTATAAAAAGTATTTGTGTTGCAAATGTTTCATATTTAAAAAAAAAAGGTTAACTGAATTTAAAACTTACTTACAAGAAAAGGTTTCGTCCGAGATTCAATTGATAACAAATGAGAAGATAAATTTTGGGTATAGGTCATGATCTACAATACCCGCAATAGTAAAAGAAATAAGAGAGACAGACCCGAAAATTTTGACCTAAACCGATCGACTTATTTTCCAGAGCAGAGTAAGCAAAGACGAATAGGGTCGGACGAAATGGCGAATGAGGATAGGAACATGAGTGCTTTGCAATTTATCGATCTAGCAGACACGATAATGCGAAGAGATCAGAACACCAATCATGTGCCAACAGTGAGTGATAATTTGAATAATAATGGTCCAACTACTTCCGACTTACATGGACTAGTACAAGATGAAGCAGCGTCTGTCCAGAAGTCATTGGAAGATAAAGTTAAAAAAATGGTCGAAACAGAAATATCTGATGTGAAGAAAATGATAGATTCTTTATCAAAAGGCATGAGAGAACTATCCGACACTGTGCGTAAACAATTAATTGTACCCCCAACGGCTACGGTAGCCTCTAATTCTATTACAAATAGTAATGCTAATCCGACGTCAAACAATAATAATGACGCAGTAAATAGGAATATGCCACCAATTATCCAATTTCCGAGTGCTAGTCAAACTCCATTATCAGATCAATTTACTGGCCCGATAACGAATACGTTTAGAGTGGAACCACTAGGAATACGAGTTGATAAACTTGGTTTAAATTTCAGTGGTGACCCGAAAGGCTTAAGAGTTATGGATTTTATTAAGCGGTTAGAGATCATGCAGGCTCAATATAATATTCCATGGTCTGAAGTGTTGAGGGATTTCGCCTTTCTGGTTTCTGGTCAAGCCAGAGAATGGTATTGGCTGCATAGACAAAGTAATGTTTACACCGATTGGATGGGTCTTAAAGAAGCGCTGATAAGCCAGTATCAAACCCCACAATCCAAATTCGACATACTCAGGGATTTGTTAGAAAGGAAACAAAGGCCAAATGAAAGCATCAATAGTTATTTTCACGAGATGGGAATTTTGCGATCTAGATTACTTCAACCTATTTACGAGTACGAAATGATTAAGATCCTAAGGGGAAATATACGTGAAGATATAAAACGACATGTATATCAGATGACCATTTCGTCGGTTGAACAGCTACGAATAGAATGTATTGAAGCTGAGAGAAATTTCCCTAGGCGCGAAAATAGAGCTGTAACGTTCCCCCAGCGACCTATCCGCCAAGTAAATGAAATATATGATGAAATTTATGAAAAGCATGTAGAAGTACCGGAGGAGAATATTGGTGAAGAGCTGTCAGCTATCCGGATACAAAGCCACATTAGAGTTCCAATTATCTGCTGGAACTGTCGAGAAAAGGGGCATGTTTTTATGGACTGTCCAGTAGAAGTCCGGAAATTGTTCTGCTATAGGTGTGGGAAGCCGGACACAGTAACCCCAAAGTGTCCTGTCTGTCAACAGGGAAACTCCCGAAGGGGTGTGGAAGTGACAGGGGAAACACACCCGTCAGAGAACCCTGTGAATCGGAAGAATTAGCACCCAAAAACGTCCGAATTTTAATAAAAAACAACGATAATATATTTAGAGATAAGAGTAGTGTAGAATCGAAAATTTTTTCTGCAGGTCAGAGGCATTACATTCCATTAGAAAATCGCCAAAGAAATTATGCTAAGGTCAAGGAGAGAATTTTTAACTCAGAGTTTACTGTAATCCCGAAAAAAATTATTGAATTGAGACAAAAATCCAAGAAGTGGCGTGAGCAGCGAAGATATTTGATAGAAACTATTTCGAGAGTGACTGGTATTGCCTCAGATCCCAGAGTTTTCTCGGAAATCAGTATGCAAGGAAAAATCATGAATGGGCTCCTAGACACCGGCGCTTCGGTTACTATGTTAGGGAAAAATTGCCGAGAGATAATAGAAGAACTTGGCATTCCAATTATACCAATGTCCAGCAGGGTAACCACCGCCGGAGGTACACAGTATAATGTTTTAGGGAAAATTAAAGCCATCATAAAATACCAAGAGCAGGAAAAATTTATGACACTGTATCTATGTCCTCAATTGGAACAAGAACTATATCTTGGAATAGACTTCTGGCGAACATTCGAATTAGCCCCTGATGTGATAGGAACTGCTGAAATTAATATAGAAAAAGTTTTCAGGGATATGACTGATACGGGTCCCGACTACAAACTCAACCCTCACGAGTTAACAAATGATCAAGAGAATCGATTAAAATGCATAGTAAAAAAATTCAAGACCTTTGAACAAAATGGGCTAGGTTGTACTAGTTTAGAAAAGCATTCGATTAAGCTCGTGGAAGGTGCGGAACCGGTTAAAGACCGCCACTATCCAATGTCTCCAGCGGTTCAAGCTATCACGTACCAAGAAGTCGATAATATGTTAGCACTTAATGTTATTGAGGAAAGTGAAAGCCCTTGGAGCAATCGTACAACTATCGTACGAAAGCCCGGAAAAAATCGTTTCTGTCTGGATGCTCGAAAGTTAAATAAGCTCACGGTCAAGGACGCATACCCCCTGCAAAACATTGAAGGAATACTAAGTCGCATTGATGAAACTCATTACATTAGCAGTGTGGATCTTAAATATGCGTTCTGGCAAATCGAATTAGACGAAGAAAGCAAGCCGTACACCGCTTTTACGGTCCCAGGTCGTCCATTGTATCAATTCCGTGTGATGCCGTTTGGATTGTGTAATGCTGCACAAAGGTTATGTCGACTGATGGACAAAGTCATTCCCCAACGACTCAAGGAGAATGTCTTTGTGTACCTGGACGACCTGTTGATTATTTCAAGTGATTTCGACGAGCATCTTCGTCTATTGAATGAAGTAGCCGATTGCCTTGACCGAGCGAGTTTAACAATCGGGTTAACCAAGTCAAAATTTTGTTTTCGTCAGTTGAGATATTTGGGATTTATTATTGGAGAAGGCATGTTGCGTACTGACCCCGAAAAAGTAGAAGCAATTCGAAAAATTAGCATTCCCAAAAGTGCTAGGGAAGTGAGAAGTTTTCTGGGTACAGCAGGATGGTACCGAAGATTTATTAAAGACTTCGCGTCACTTTCAGCTCCCCTTACTGATACCCTGAAGAAATCGCCCAAATTCGTAATTACGGAAAAGGCAAAGGAGGCATTTGAAAACTTAAAGAGGGCCTTAACTTCCGCACCGGTGTTACGCCACGCAGATTTTTCCAAACCCTTTTTTATTCAATGTGATGCTTCGGAATATGGCATCGGCGCTGTTCTATTTCAGCTGAATGCCGAAGGACATGAGCATCCGATCGCTTTCTATTCGAAAAAACTCAATAAGTGTCAGAGAAATTATAGCGTGACAGAGAAGGAATGCTTGGCGGCGGTGATGGCTATCAAAACTTTCCGTCCTTACGTGGAGCTAATGGAATTCACCGTGATAACAGATCACGCTAGTTTACAATGGCTGATGAGTCTAAAGGACCTCAGTGGTCGTTTAGCTCGCTGGTCATTGCAACTTCAGGGATTTAACTTCAAAATCGAGCACCGAAAAGGAAAGGAAAATGTTGTCGCCGATATGCTATCCCGCCTACCCAATGCCGACGAAATAGACATGAATCGGGTTTTTGAATTCGAGACCACCGAGTTTGAAAGTGATTCGTACAAACAGCTTAGAGAAATTATAGCAAATAAAAAGGAGAATCTCCCCGATCTAAAGATTGTCGACAATATGGTATTTAAAAGAGATCACAAGTCCTATAACCCAGAAACACAAGAGTTTCAGTGGAAATTGTGGGTCCCAGAGTCTTTGACCCATTCTTTAATAGAGCAAGCCCATGATAAAACTACGTCAGCTCACGGAGGCATATCAAAAACCATTTTTCGTTTAAGAGAAAAATATTACTGGCCTCTAATGGTATCCCAGGTTAGGCAATATGTGTCTAAATGTACTGTTTGCAAAGAGACAAAGCCTACCAATGAAAATACTCAGCCTCAGATCGGAAATGAAGTCGTGACAAATCTTCCCTTCCAGAAACTCTACGTTGACTTCCTCGGGAAATACCCCCGGTCTAAAAGTGGCAACGCCTTTATATTTATAGTGGTGGACCACTTTAGCAAATTTACATTTCTTAAGGCAATGAAAGAGGCAACAGCTTCCAATGTGGTAAAATTTATGGTTGAGGATATATTTCGTAAGTTTGGCGTACCCGAGACGATACATTCCGACAATGGGGCACAGTTCGTATCTAAAACTTTCAAAGACATGATTGAAACATATGGAATCAATCATATCCAAACAGCTCCATATGCTCCGCAGTCTAATGCATCTGAGAGAGTCAATCAATCAGTATTGGCGGCGATTAGGGCATATCTAGAAAATGACCACAGAGATTGGGACCTGTATCTAACAGACATAGAGTGCGCCTTAAGAACATCGATTCATACTGCAACTGGTGTAACGCCATTTTTCGCGCTGTTTGGTCATAGTATGTACACCCATGGTTCAGATTATAAATTAGCTCGGAAGCTCCACTCATTGGCGGACCATGAAATTATACATTTAGATCGTAACGACAAGATGGAACTAATCCGAAATAAAATTAGACAGAATATGCATCAGGCTTATCAACAAAGCGCAAAAAGGTATAACGCAAGGGCTCGTACGATTATTTTCTCTCCGGGTCAAGAGGTATATAAAAGAAACTATGTTCTTAGCGATTTTGGGAAAAATTTTAATGCTAAGTTTGCCCGGAAATTTACGAAGTGTCGTATAGTAAAGCCCATAGGAAATAATATGTATTCTCTCGAAGATCTAAATGGAAAGGCGATTGGAATCTGTCATGCAAAAGATCTTAAAAGATAAGTGGAAAAGAAAGTCTTTTCAATCCCCTTTCCCAATTCAATTTTTATAAAAAGAATTCTAAAATAACTCTCAAAAACTATTTCACATTTGTTACCAATTCTATATCACATTTATCATGGTTATGGTTTAATTCAAAATCGAATGAATCAAAACAAAACATAGAAAATGTGTCTGAGGAAACTAAATACGATAGTAAAATCACCTTCGTACTGAATTCATTCGTATTAAGGTTCAAAAATATCAGCTGATCTGTTCCCCTAATTGGGTAATTCAAGTTAATCAGACTCTAGTTTCGCGTTTATCACAGCTGTCTAATTTCTTTTACAAAATATTCTACGCGACATATAAATTTAAAAAAAATGTACTTAAACACCCCCGGTGGCGATAAAAATAGCACAATCTGGTTTATTCCGGCATAAATTAATGAAAGATTCCCATACATAAAAAGCGAACATACATAAAACTACATTCTACCAGACAATCACGTAGACACCACGATTATGGTATTTGTTTACCTATCAATCACATCAGCATATACCGCATACAAAATCCGTTCTTCGGCAACCACGACGACAAGACAGGCATAGGCACAAATATTTCCGCATGCAAAATGTTTCACCACCTATTAAGGAATGAAAGTTATTAAATGTTCAAAACAAACGAAAAAGTACCGCAATACATTGCTAGGGCTATGCCCGCTTTCTGTCAAAATACTTCAAAATTGTATGCGACAAAATGTTTTGATAATTGTTATTTTTTGAATGCGTTATTGAACGCACGGATTTTTTTTCAAAAAATGTGATCAAAACTGTTTAATCCTTCAATTCCAGGACAAAACAGGGTAATATTTTGAACGCCGGCCACGCAGTGTTCGTTTTTCCAAACATTGACCTTGAAAATATTTTTTTTTATTTTCAAAACAAATAATACACAATAATGACAGAAGTCGGGCACACTTGGAAAAAAAAATTGTAATCAGCTTTTAGCTCTACCTTACCTTTTTATTGTACCATGATTTCAATAATTTGATCAAATTATTTGTGTATCAAAGTACGTATAGATTCCAACTTTGAAGATTATATCCATAACCAAGAAGAATGTGTGAAATTTTGATGGAATCGGAGAATTTTTCATTGAGAGCTGGTGGGTATTACCAGTGTAGATCCGCCGGAGAGGACAAATATATTCCAACTCCACACAAGGTCTTGGGTTGATAGAATTATTGGGTTGTTCCGGATGTTTACCTTTTTGTAGTGAAGGTCCCAAAGGAGTGGGTCGATAAATCCCATCCGTTCCTCTGAGCTTGTCTTAGTAGAAATACTGAATGCGGGATTTTATAAATAACCGAATGCGTATTGTAAAATTTATGAGCGTTTTTGATCTTCCCAAATGTTGACCTGTTATAGGGGAATTACCAGCGAGTTTCCCGGACTCGGAACTCGATCGATGTTTGGTAGTGACACGATATTTTCAGGGTGTCGGATCGAGAATTATCAGGCGAACCAGCAAGACATGTTTCACAGATCTGATGGACAGATTAGAAAAATAAATTAATTTATGTGGTTCTATTTCGATGGGGGATATTTACCAGCATGAGGGGGAGGGCTTTGACCAGCCTGCTGTTCGGAGCTTATGCCCGGCATGAGACCTTCAGGGAGTGGGATGTCCCCACGTAAATGAGTAATGCGGCCGTGCACATCACCTCCGTCCTCGATTTTCTGGCCGAAGTTGAAGTTTTGTTGCAGGCCGTTCACATGCGGCGCAAAAAGGCAACAAATATATGGGGCCGTGTTTTTTGGCAAAACCTGTCCACAACCACCGCAGAAATTATCCCAATTCTGTTGGTAGTGCATCCCATAATTGGTCCTCAAATGGATTTGCTCAGTTTTCCTGGGTTTTTAGTGAGGATGGTGAGGATGCTTCGAGATTTCAATTTGCTTGTAATTTCTGCGGGGTGTGTAGTCCGGGTGGCGATGGGATCAAAATGCCGGAAATGGTTTGTTAGGGTTCGCTACGTACGAAATTAGGCTCGAACAGGGTTGAGTAAAAGAGTATTATAAAGGTAGTAAATGACAGGGTGACTCAGGCTAAGAAGTGACTAGGCAGCCCTATGATTGCTGAGTAGGTGGGAACCTACTATAAATATGATAAAAATTTTGTTTAGACACAATTTGAATGAATGATTATGAAAAAAAAAAGCGGCACGTTGAAATAAAAATTTAAGAAATATCAGAAGAATAGAAAAACAAAAGATTTCGAGAGAAATAATTAAAATGTTTTTGCTGATGTCTCGCTGCCGTATAAGGTTAAAGGAAATTGGCGTTGTTTGGGGTAATTGGCGAGTTGGTAACGTAAGTGAAAAGGGTTGGGCGAATAGTTAGACAGCCGTTGATTTTTAAATGAGAGACTCAGGGGTGAGGTGAAATGAGAATTCACAATAAAAAAAAAAAATGGCTATTGACAGTTGAAAAGAAAAAGGAATGAAAATTGAAAATGGTTCAGGAAAATGGTGTTTCGTGGAAAATGAGCGTCTGGCGGGATTCACTGAGAAGAGGGGTATAAAAGGCTGCGAGCATAAGAAAAGCCAAAGTTGAGAATAAGACGTTACCGGTGAAACTTAGCTAGAGAGCAGTGAAGAAGTGGAAAAATTTAATTTGTGTGTTGCGATTTTTTTTTATTGTGTAAGTAGTTTGTAACAGTGGTTTGTTGAGTATTGTGTTGTTATATGTGATGTGTGTTGCTCCAACAGGAATATTCCGGTGGTGTATCAAGCCTTTTTTGGAAGCACCGAAAATTGTCCGGTTTTGGTCAGCACAACGGCGGGAAATTGCCTTTTCTTTTTGGTAACGCAAGGTAGTGGCAAGTTGTCCACAGGAAAAAAAAGCCAAAAAAGTTACATTGAGGGTGTGGAGATTTGAATTGTAAACTGGCCAGCTGCAACTTTGAGCTTTTTGCTGTGCCGGTTATTGATCCCGCCCAGAACGCCGGCATTGTAAAAGGACCAGTCAACAAGTCCAGCTTCATTTGAGGGTTTGCCTGGCGTTCAAAATCTGTTTCCTCCGGAAAGAAGCGTAAACTGGAAGGAGAGATAAGAAGAATTAATCAATAACGTTATAAATCACTGCTCAGGTAAAAGGTGTCTTACCGTTGTGTTGTCCTTGATATATATATTTATATATATGTGACGTCCATAAAATTTGCTGTCTCCTTTTTTGGAACTAAAAGAAAAGAAAAAAAAAAGAGTTAATAATCATAAATTTCGAGAAAAAAAAAATATAATATTCAGTATAAAGATTTAGTAATAAGATAGGTTATAGTTCTTAGGATTTAAGTAATAATCAGTTTGTAAGGGAAAAATACCGCGTTTATTTTCAAAGGCTAGGAGGTGTTACAGTAAAATTATCTTGAGTCCTTGTGATTCGATCTGATAGTTTAGGCCGTGGAATTTTAGCGGCAATTAGGCCGGTTAAGAGAGCTCTTTTAGGTGGCTAGTAATTTCGTATAGACGCGGAATATTGCGCGGGAAAAGCAAGGCAAAGGATAATATATTGGTTTCTACCGAGTAATTAAAGCCATAGATTTAAGAAAGCCCGGTATTATTCTTAATTTGTTTTTTTTTATACCATACAGTTTGTCAATTTTAATGTAAGAAAAAAAATAGTAGAGAAAAAAATTAAGAAAATATTTAAAGCTAACTTATTTTTTTTAATAAAATTAAAAATGATTCTTTTGTAAACAGTAGATACTAATATGTGTTGCTAAGTTTGTATAGCTTGGGGGGAAGGTGGTATGAAGTAAGTGTGTGATTCGAAGCGTGTGGTTCAAGGGGATTCAGAGAAACGCAAGAAATGGAAATACTGGATCCAGGTAGGGTGGGCGAGTGTGGGATCGATCCGCCGAGATCCCTGTATGATGACTCCTATTTTGTATATCGTAGAGTAGAGCAATTGTAGTAAAGTCCCCTTTCAATGTTAGTGTGTTGGATTCGATTGGCGGGTTGAGATCCCTAGCCCTGGGAGTCTCTGTGACAGTCGGATGGCCTAATCGTATGCCGAGCAAATGCACACATAACAAACTATGCAATTTGTTGACCCAATGACTTCTTCTATGTTAAAAACCATGTAAATAAAGCAATAACGATTGGTTTCCACTAAATAACATTTTTATTAGTTTGCTTGATATAAGTTACGATAGTTTATGGTAAAACATGTTGAATTTAAAGTTATAAACTTACATCTTAAAAGATCTAGCTATTATAGAATATAGGTATATTGGATGCCAACAAAATCGTTCAATAGTTTTGGCTATATTAACAAACAATTCTAACCAAACCAACGTGTTAAACATGGACAGGTTTTGGGCACCAATGCTTTGGGAATGGGATATGCCGGTGATCGTTAGAATCGTCTCCTACGATATTTACACATGGATACATAGTACATACAATGGGCAAATTGCATACCGCAATTATGTTATTAAAAAAAAAACGCTACGAACAAATAAAGAAATCTAATAGAATTTTATAAGGTACTTCTTCCAAAAATAATCCTAGAAATCCGGTTGTGAACCTCCCGACTGGCCACTCTTATTGCCCCACAACCAGTTAAGTAAGACATTTGGCGCGGCTTGGTTTGCTTGGGCTAAATGAAATAAAAAGTTCAATGTTAACGCTGATCGGTACGAGTATGATATACGACCACTTACTCATGTCTGTACCAGTTAATTCTGACACAGCTGCTGGAGGCATTTTAGCTACATCTTGTTGAAATTTCTCCATCTGACGTATACGTTGTTCTCGCTCCTCCTTTATTACTTTGTCTTTTGCATGACTTACAGTCTGTAGTTGTGATAATCTATGCATGCAAAAAGTAAAGCAACAATTATATACTATATGCGGCGCACATCGATTTCAGATACTCACTTCCGACTTAATTCGTCGTCTGCAGTAGTTTGCGTTGAACCTGCAACTGAGCTACTTGCATTAGTTTCTTGGGGTTTTTGTAGTTGCGACGTCGAAATACTTTCTGGGGATGACGAAACTAAGAATAGAAATAACTCATTAGGAGACTAAATTACAACTTATTATCAATTTGTTTTGATTTACCATCAGCAGACGCCCCCAGTTGGGCTTTCATTGCTTCCATTTGACGCAGCGTATTGGACAACTTCAGTTGCAACGTGTCTCTTTCTTCCAAGAGAGAAACTAGCTCCAAGGTCATCTCTTCGCAACGCATGTCCCGTTGATGCAACATATATAAGGCCAAGTCTAGTTCGGCTTTGGTTACGGGAGCAACATCGGAAGTAGTTGTCGATTTACGTTTATCCATAACACCAATGTGCGATGAAGTGTCTTGTAGTTTGAATGGATCATATTGTGCCGCCAAACGAGCATATTCTGCCGAACGTATTGCTAGCTGTTCCTTAAGAGTCACAATTTCCACTTCTTGTGACTCCAAAGCTCTCTGCATCTGCTCCATTAAGGCTTCGACGCCAGCATCGTTATCCTTGGTTCTGATGCGTACCGGAGTGCCATCGTGCGAAGCCTCAGCGGATGTGGTACCAGAGGCTGAGGTCGACTCTGATCCTGGAGTAGACGATGATGTTGTTTCTACCGAAACTAGCTGTTGAACCGGTTCGATAGTTTGGTTCGATTTTAATGCTGTGATTTCAGCACGTAATCGTTCCTCTTGGGCTTTGAAGTCTTCTTCTCGTTGTGCTAAATGGTCCTGCCACATTTTTGCAATTTCCCCACAACGCTGTTCTACGACCGATTGCCATTGAGCATTAAGTGCTTCAAAATTTACGCCCGTTTCCGTATTGTTTTCACCATTTTTCTGTAAAGCTTCGACAGTCTTCCGTAACTCCAGAATTTCCACATTCTTGGTATCCAATTCTAACGTAAGAACTTTCATTTTGTCCTCTTGTTGTAGGCTTTCTAAAACATGATTGTTTAGCACCTGTAGTTCCTCCTCCATCTGTTTCTTTTCGGCCAACAAAGCCGTGACTTGTTTTTCCAAATCCTTCTCCTTTGCAGTAACATCAGTTGGCGCTTCTTTCTTGGATTGCATTTCTTTGGTCAATTGCAGTGACAGGTTATTTTGCAATTCGTGTTTATCCTCCTCCAGATCTTTTACTTGAAGCTTTAGCATTTGGATTTCTTGGTTTTTCGTTAATATTTCCAAAACAAGTTTTTCAGTCTGATCTTCGTTCATAAGATCGCTGATGCGCTGCTTTAGATGCAGTATTTCAGATTCTTTTTCCTGCAATTGCACCGATAGTTCATCGCCACTTAGTCCACCGATATGTTTTTGTTTAAGTTGCTCATTTTCAGTTTGAAGAGCTTGTAGTTTATCTTCCAACGTGAGCCGTTCTTCGTCAAGTTGAGACGTTCTAGTCTTAAGTGTCTCAATTTCCTTGCGAAGGTTTTGTACCAGCTCTTCCAGTTGCTGTTTATCCAGTCGTATTTGTTCCAACTCTGGACTCACCACATCCAATGGTTTGTGTATAGCATCGTCCAACTGTTTTTCTTTTTGTTCCTTCAGCGATGCCAACTCTGCTTCCAAGTCAATCAAACTCTGTTTGGTGTTGTTGAGAGTTTCTCTTAAATTGATAACTTCTTTCTGAAGATTATCCAATTCAGAATTTAGCCGCAATTCATTGGTTTGAGAGAGCAACAGAACTTCCGCTTGAGTTGCGAAATCATTAGAGAGCTTTTTATTGGAATCAAGGAGCGTGTTATATGCTTCTTGAAGGTTTTGTAGTTCAATCTTAAGATTGTTAAGCTGTGTTGTTTCATCGTTTGTGGCTGCGTTTTCTTCTAAGAAAGACAATTTTTGGCGCAAGGACTCTATTGTTTGCTCTGCTCGTTGTGAATTGCATTTTTCCTCTTCCAACAAAGCCTGCAATTCCTGCCGGTCACCGTTTACATCCTGGATCTCCATAGTTAAAGACTTTATTTTCGCTTGCAAATCTAAATCGGCAATTGTAGGAGGAGCAGTAGCAGATTCCCCCTCCTCCGAAGGCTGTTTCGGTTGTTCACCGGTGTTATCTGTTCCCCAATCATCGAGGGTTTGCAATTTCTGCTGCAATTCCCTAATGCGAGCTTGGTACATTTGAACCTCCATATCTTGCCGTTCTTTCATTTCGGCCATTCGTTCATTGCCCGAGGTCAACACATCAATTCGTTTCAATAATTTTTCTTTCTCAACCTGGAATTGTTCTTGCTGTTTATGTTGTTCTTCCAATTTAGCTTCCAATGTTTTGATTTGTCCCTTCATTTCTTCTTGAATAGCCGCATCCAAATCATCAAACATCGATGGACCAGATTCTATTGAAGACGACTTACGGAAAGCAGATGAGTTTACAGACGTTTGAAGTTCATCAATCTTGACCTTGTACTCCTTAAGCTTCTTCATTAGTTTACCGGATTTTACGTGCAGTTCCTTTTTATGTTCTTCGCTGCGTTCAAGAGCAAGTTGTAGTTCTTGCAAGCGTTCATTTAATTCTTGGTTTTGAATTTCCAGTTGTTGTTCTCTAGGCACTAAAGAGGCTGATGCTGGAGAAGCGCCAGTCATGGCAATGGATTGTTTAGCAAAATGTTCTGCTTCAGCTGCTGCCTCATTTTCCCAGCCATCTCCACCCCAATCGTCTCCTCCAATATCAAGAACTGAAATCGGAGCATTACGTTTTTCTTCCGGATGACAATCACGCACCTTCTTTGGTACAATAATTTCCTCTACTACTGGCTCTGCAGATACCTCGGGTATAACAAAAGGATTGAAATCTTGAGATTGATTAGAATTTCCGAAGAACATATCTAGAGTGGGTTGAATGGCTGGATCGGGTACTATTTGATTTTCTAAAGAATGCATCGTCCTCTTCAAATGCAATTCATCAAGTCGCTCGCGCTCTTCACGACGCAATTTTTCCAGTTCTTCATCCTTCCGTTTAAGCAACTCATCCAACTGGGCGATTTGCTGTCGTACGGCTCTGAGTTCCTTCTGTTCTGCAGCTAGCTTCGTTGAGAGCTCGTCTTGAATATTTGCCATTTCTGTCTTGGCTTGTTGAAGGAGTAGTTCCCTTTCGAGCACACGACTCTCCAGTTCCCGTAAACGATCTTCATACTCTGTATCCTTTTGATTGCGCATTACCAATTTTTGTTCCAAATCTTGCGCATGCTTTTCCAAATCTGACACATTACGTTGAAGATCCTCAATTGTTGGTTGCTCCAATGGCTCTGATGGCTGGTTTGCACTGTTTTGACTTTGAATAATGTCATCAAAAGGCGAACGCACTGTCGATTCCAAAGTGAAGAACATGGGTGGAGCCGGTATTACATCGCTGGATTGTTGGTCAACTGTTGATGTTGAATTCACGCTCTGCAATGTTTGTAGACTTGCTACTTCGTGCTGATGTTCATTAACTTGTCGCTGCATTTCATGGTTGGCTTCGAGTAGAGTATTGAATTCAGCTTGAAGTGTGTTAAGATCTTGTTGGAGGCGACCAATCAATGAATTCTTTTCGTTTATTTCCTGTGTTAAACGTTCATATTCATGATTTTCGGATGCTGCATTGCTGGCTTGGGTAGTTAGGCCGAAAGCCAGTGCGATAGGATCGACCTGATTGGCGTTGGTGTTAGCAGAAGCTGTGGCCGCAGCCATTTGTAGCTGTAAATTCTGTCTTTGATAATTTTCTATTAACGCCTCTTTTTCAGCCAGCAAATCTGTGAGACGTTTATTTTCTGTTTCAATGAATACCTGATCGTCAGTTTGATTCTGCCCCACTTGCATTCTGAGAGTGTCTAACTCGGCTATCTGATTTCGCAATCCTTGCAATTCAGTCTCATGATTCGACGACAATGTTTCGATCTGATGTCGTAAGTTCTCAATTTCGGTCTTATCTTGCATCGATTGCATGCGCAACTCTTGTAAGTCGTACAGATCCTGCTGGGAGTTTTCGCTTTGCATTCTTAACCACGAAGTTTCACGCTCCAGTTCAGACTTGGCTTGTTCCAAAGTATTGAGATTTTCCTGGAGACGCAGAATTTCATTTTGGTGGTCGGCGCATTCGTCTGTTAGTCTTTCGAGTTTCTCAGAGATTTCACGCTTCTCTTCATTTACTTGTTGCAACTGATCATTTAACTCACACTCCAGTTCATCCAATTCTGTAGCTTTAGATGCCAGCTTTCCATCATAAACGGCCTTTTGACGTTCAAATTCAGATTCGGCTTTCGAAAGTTGTTCTCGCAAATGTGACAATTCCTCCTCGAATCCATTGGTACTTTGCTCCTTAAATTCAGCAAAATCTTTCTCCAGTTGAAGATATCTGGCTTGAAGTTCGCTGTTATCGTCTTGAAGTTTGCGCAAATTCTCTTCCATTTCCTCTTTTTCACTTTGTGACTCGATGAGGCGTTGAGCTATTACTTCATCGTGTTCGGAGAGCATGTTCAGACGATAGATCAGCTCGTCTTCGGTCTTGGCGTGTTCTTCGGAACTGGATTGTAATTGAGCATCCATTAGGTTTACTTTACGCTCCATTGAAGTTCTACGCTCTTCAAAACATGCTACGCATTCCTGCAAGCGACCAATTTTTTCTTTGAAATTAGCGTTTTCCTGTTCCAACGACTCGATGTAGGACATGTCTTCCTGAAGTTTGGCTTGTATGCCATCATGAAGTGTTTCCAAGCGTGTTATGGTTTGTTGGAAATTAGCCTTTTCTGTATTGTATTTGTCATTAAGTTGATTATACGCTTCCTGCAGCGCTTCGAATTCCGACTTAAAAGACTGGCTGCTTTGATTTGCAGCCCCCACAACTTCTTCCTCTGGCATTGCAGACAGTTTATCCTGCAATTCCTTAAGTTGCGTCTGTAGACGTTGTATTTGTCCATTGCGTTCTTTGATGACAGCTTTGGACTTTTCAAACTTGAGGGATTTGGCTTTCAGTTCTTCAGACACTTCTTTAAGGCGCTGTTCCTGTGTTGTAAGCTCGTTGTTAAGCTTTGTAATTTCGTCTGCCTCTGTCTGGTGATTTTCTTTCATTTCATTAATTATTTGAACATACTCATTGTTCTTCTCAGTCAGTGTGGAAATATGATTTTCCAGAAGTTTATTTTTTTCAGCCAGGTCTTTCGACAGTTTCTCGTAATTTCTGTTATCACCAGCGTTGTTGGGGATGTCTCTTTGTAGTTCTAAAGCCATTATAGATTGCCTCAGTTCGCTGATTTCTTGAACTTTCAGTGCCAGATTTTCTTGGGTGCACAGAAGTTCCTCGCGGACTTGATCACTCTCCGCCATCTGGCTTTCTAGCTTTGTGATTGTGTTCTTTGCAGTATGTAATTCCAGTCGTAAACTTTCAGTTTCACCAGAATCACCCCAATCCGAGACATCATTCCTAGCTGCATCTAACTCGCTTTGGAGCTTGGCATTCATTTGAGTGTTCTCTGTTAATTGACTTTCCAGTTTTGTGATTATATTTTTGGCAGTATGTAACTCTAGGCGCAAATTTTCAACTTCACCATTATCGCCCCAATCGGAAGTCAATTGTCTTGCGGCTTCCAATTCACTTTCTAACTTGGCAATAGTTCTTTGTGCCTCCTGTGTTTCGAGTCGTAAATCTTCAAGTTCAATTTGAGTGAGCAATTGTTCCTGTTTCAGTTGTTCCAGTTCTTCTGAAAGATCAGGTGAGACAGTTGGCCGGGATTTAATGTGCTGCATCTCTTTTATGGATGATTCCTTTTCATCTATGGCTAATTGCAATTGCCGTACTTCCTGTTCCAAGGCATTTCTAATCTTGGTAAGATCAAACAGCTCTTCTTCCTTTAATGCAAGTTTGTGGCTGGTAGCCTCATATTCTTGTTTGCTAGCATCAAGTTGTTGCATTAAATTTACATTGGCATTCCTGAGATCTTCAAGCTCTTTATTATCGTGCTTTTCACTCTGAATTTCTTTGAGCTTATTTTCAAATTCTTGAACTTGAAGAGCTTTTTTCTTTAAATTGGCTGCATATTTTTTTAATTTTTCCAATTGCTCTTTGTTGCGCTGTTCCAATTGATCGTGACTGGCCTGTACCTGTGTCAGTTGTTGCAATTGTTCCTGATTGCAATGTTCTAATTGTCCTAGTTGCGCTTTCGTTTGTGATAATTGTTGCAGATGTTGCTTTCGTTCTTCGTCGGTATTTTTCAGTTTTGATTCCAGCTGCTGCATCAACTCCTTGTTGTTATTTACCTCCTCCTGAAGTGCAGCAATCTCATCCTCCTTCTCGATTATTTTAATAGAGTTTTCTTCCATGGTTTTGTATAGGTCAATTATCTGCTGATTTAAGGTATCTATGGTATCCTGCTTGTTTGACAACTCGTTCAGTTGTTCCTGCACCAAATTCTTGTTAATCTTCAACGCATCTTTCAGTTTGTCACATTCACTCTGCAATTCCCGTGTCAATTCCGTTCCGACCAATGAAGAGTTTTGTTTCATTTCAGCCAATTCCCGCTTAAGATCTCGCACTTGCTCCTCATATTGTTGCAATGTCAGGAGCTTCTCGTTCATTTCATGCTCGTGTTCTTTGTAAGCTTCAATCAGCTGTTGTTTTTGTTCACTAACAAGAGTTTGCAAAATTTCCATTTCCTGCTCGTAAGTTTCACATTTGGATTCGAGCTGTTTACGCAGTCTGGTCAATTGCTCGACTTGCTGCTCGTGCGCCATTTCCTTGTCATTGATGACGCGATCAAAGTCTTCGGAAAGTTTTCGTAGATTTGCTATCTCATCTGTTAGCTTTGTAATTTCTTCAGTTTTTTCTGACTCAGAAGTACGCGATTCATGCAATTCCCGGGTGATATCTTCAACTCGAGACTGCAACTCTGTCAGTTGTTGTTCAAGGTTTTCATTTTGTTGTACAGCATCCTTGAGTTTGTTTTGTAGGTCATGTTGATCAACACTTTGTTCAGCTGAACGATCAATAGCAGTTTGATTTTCGTTTTGGTCTTCCTGACTTTGGTACCTGGCTTCATCTAACAGTCGACGCAGCTCCATATTTGAGGCCTTCAGTTCCCGATTTTGTGCAGTAAGCTGTTCATATTCCGCTAAAGCTTTACCGTTGGACGCTGTCACAGCCACCACAGTTTCTACGACGGTTACCGTTTCCACGGCACTACTTGCATCTTTGACCTTGACCAACAGTTCACTGAGCTGTGTGTGGGCATTTTCTGCTTCTTTTGCCAGTTTTTTGGAGGCATTAAATTTGGATTTCTTATCATTAGCTTTGCGATAGGCTTCCAGCTCACAATTCAATTTTGACAATGACTTTTCACATTTTTCGAAGAGCGATTCTCCATTCTCAATAGCTGGCACAACCTCCGAGGATTGTTGTAGCGATGTGAGTTCTTGTGATAGCTGATTTTTGTTGGCTTTTGATTCGGCAATTTGAACTGCAAGGGTATTCTTCTCCTTATTGGCGTTGTCGAGTTTAGTTACCAAATCATCCTGCTTCTTTCTGGCAGACTCCAGCTTTGACTCCAAATCATTCTTGTCTTTGGTAAGCTCTTCAATGCGTTGCAACAGCTCGTGGTTTTCGCTTGTCAAATGTTCCATTTTTTCCAATACCTCACGACGTTCATTAGTAAAGAGTTCAATTTTGGACATTAATTCTGAGCTTTCTTCACGTAACTTATTGAGACTTTCCGTTAATTCAGGATTCATTTCAGTTTGGGTTAGCTCATTAACAGAATCCTTGTGCGAAGATATATCAGAGGATTGGCTGGTCTCACCCGTTTCTAAGCGTTTATTAAATTCTTCAAGTTCTTGTTTTTCCTGCTGCGTAAGCCGTTCCACTATTTCTATAGATTCAGCTGAGGAGGACGACTTACTAAGTTTTTCAACTTTATCCATGAGCTCTATGTTTTCGTTTAAATAATGTTCAAGTTTTTTGTCTAGCTCGTCTTTCTGCTGTTTGATTACTTCAATGGATTTGTTGGCAGTGTGCAATGCTTCCTCTTTCTTCTCTAACTCATGCCGCATGAATGCCACCTCTTCCGTCAGGTCCTTGATCTGCTCTTCATATTGTATTTCCGTTAACTCAGACTTAACGCGAGTGCTTTCACCTTGTTTCAATGTCTCAATTTGCTTTTCTTTTTCTTGTAAATTTTCTGAGAGAGTTGTCACTTGTGTCTGGTATTCCTTCAAGATGCTGTCATGTGAACATGATGGAGGTTCCATCTGTGTCAATTGCCATTGTCCTTTCTCATCTTCCAGTTCTGTAATTTTTTGTTGCAACTGTTCTTTCTCCTTGTTCAGCCGCACCACTTCTTCATGAAGATCTGATCCTTTTTTGAGTTTTTCTATTTGTTTTTCGGTCTGTTTACATTTCAGTTTCAATTTTATCATAGCCTTATTGGATTCATCCAGTTTTTGTTTGAGTTGTTGATTTTCCATTTCCAACTCAGTGTTGTCGTTGTCCTGTTGACCAGCTGATCCCGATGTAGAGAAAAGAGGCTTGGCTTTGGCAGAACTTTCAATTTTCTCCTCTAGGACTTTAAAGCTGGCATTCAAAACATTCAGCTCTATGGTCTTTTCCATAAGTTCTTCTTCATTTTTCTTCAGTGTTTCTTGGGCTTTAAGCAACTCTTCCCTCTGTGATTCAATGGTAGCCTCCAAGTGTTCTACTTTTTCCGCTACGGATGATTCTTTTATTTCTTGCTTTTCATGCTCGGATATAGATTGTTGCAGTTTCGTGTTTTCTAATCTCAACTCTCCTATTTCGTCCATTAGCTCTTGGATTTGTTTTGCCATTTCAGCCTTGACTTGGGTGTCTGTATCAGGCTTTGTGGACTCCGAGACTTTTAAACCGTCTGACTCTCTCTGCAATTCATTGTATTTTTCTTCGGAACATTTCAGTTTTTCTTCCAATACAATTACATTCGCCTGCAATTCTTTAACCTGTTCTTCGAGCTGGGTTGTTTTAGATGCTAAATCGCAACGAGCTGTTTCTAAGACATCGTTAATTTCTTGCAGTTCCTTAATACGATTCAATTGGGTCTCAACTTCAGTTTTCAGGAGTTCGTTTTCAGAATTCATATTGGAGGACTCTCCTGACTCTTTTAGACTAAATGCGTTTAGTTGTGCTTTGAGTTCTCTAATTTCCTCTTTCAGTAGATCGGTTTCATAGGAGTCTTGCTCATGATCTCTTTTTACGGACAAAGATTCAACTTCTTGTAACAAACGGGCATTTTCCTTTGACAGGATTTCTACCTTCTTATATAAGTCATTTTTTTCGTTGCTTTCCACGTTTTGATGATCATCAGCCTCAAATAGGTCAGGTTTATAATCCTTTATTAATAATTGCAATCGACCCATTTCCTCTTTGTATGCAGCTTCCTTTTCATCGAATATAGACTGTTGACTGGCTAGCCGCTTTTCCAATTCTTCAATCTTATTCTCGGTATCCTGAATATGGCTACGACTGTTACTATTCTGTTTTTCCTTTTCCAATTGCTTTTCCAGCAGCCGGCATCTATTCTCCAAGAACTTGATACGCTCCTTCTCCAAACTGAAATTTTGCGTTGTAAGGTCTGTGGCTGATTTGTGCCTCTCCCTACTGGTTGGCGTGTATATAAGAAGGTTGAGGTCGGACATTGATTTCCCTAATTCCGAAGTGTTCTCCAAACACTGTTGCGTTGAGTCGAACTTTTCCTTTAGCTGTGAAACCAATTGTTCCAAATGCTGCTTGCTGGAAGCTTTCTGAGCCATTCTAAGCTTATTCTGCTCTAATTGCTGTCGCATTAAGGCAATTTTTTCACTTCCAGGTGTGCTAATCAAATTAGATGATGTGGATGTATTAAGTTTTATTGGTGTAGGATTAGGTGTGGATGTATGACTTGGCAAGGGTGACGCTTGGGAAATGTTCAAGAAACTGGGCTTTTCCTCGTGACCCAAAGAGGCTTCAAGTGAAGTCACTTCTGTCGAGTATGTGGAAACATTTAAGCCCTGTTTTGACTTGGCCTTGGACTTTAAAAGTCTCTCGGCAATGCTTTTGACTTTTTCTTGAGCAGCACTTTTGGATGATCCATGTGCGGCTCCAGATTTTCGTACCAGTTCCTTAAGTGCGGAAATTTTTTCCTAAAGTTTACAACAACATATAAATATTGTTATACTTTTGCATGTATTTGACAATGTACTAACCTGCTGTTGCAGAAAACTTTCCTGCAGATTGCTGATATCTGCCGTCTGTTGTAGGCTTTCGTTCGGTTCGGAGGACATTTTCGTAAATATGAATTTCTATATTTTGCAAATGGAAGCGCACTCTATACAATGTTTATTTGCTATATGGGCCTGAACTTTATTTCGCATTTAAGAGTGAATTCTTCCTTGCGTTTTCTCCTGTTTAATATAGATTCGTAAAAATCGTTTGCTGAACATTGGCTACATGTACTGAAAAAATATTAAATATAAAAAAATGATTTTCTTTAAAAAGAATGCAAAAACAAAGAATACAATGTCCGAATTTTTCGTATTTTTTTAACAAATGACATCAACTTCTTAAATGTCAGAGATATTGTGACGTGTTCATTTTTGTACACTTCTCGTTTTTCATGTTTTCACTGGCAGTTTGAAGGCGATTCCAGACTATTTTGTCACGTTTTTTTAATTTATATAAGTAAAGCACGTAGTGTTTAGTCTATGTTAGGTGTTATTTTCATAGTTTATCAAGTTTTTTTTACCATAATTATAATGAACAAATTTATCAAATATTTTTTTTTTTTTTTTTTTGGACTGTCAATCGAGCTCTCCTATGTTGAAGAGAGCGTTGGCGATCCTCAGGATACAAAAAGCCAGGTTGTACTCCAAATTAAGGTAAATTTGTAGAAAGTCACCTCAAGTCCAATAAGTTTATTTTTCAAAATGATTTGCCAAATTACTCCACTCCAAAGAATTTATTTTCCAAAATGGTTGGTCACTAGTGAAATCGATTACAATCCAATCAGCGTTTATCCCAACATGGATTGCAAAGTCCAGTCCAATGCTTTTATTTTCCAAAATGGTTGGCCACTCTTGAAAACGATTACAAACCAATGAGCGTTTGTTACAAAATGGATTGCCAATATAAATTTTCCGATTACTGCAAATACAGTATAAAAATGGTGTAAAAAGAAAACGATAGTACATAAGTACAAATGTCGAATTGTAGTTCAATTTTGTTTGCTTATTTGATATTGTAATATTAATATGAAAAGGTTTTTAACTCACGACACCTGGTTGAGAGGTAGTTTTACTTGCGTGACAGATGCAGGACACCACAGACGTAAAAAGACAAAATGTGCCCATTCAGCAGCTATGAAGTCCAAGCGATCAGGAATATCCCAATTGTGAGTCCAGTTGTGTTCCAAAGGTTAGAATACCTGTCTGCAAATTGCATAAGGAAAATAAAGGGCCAAAAGTGGGGAATGGGATGGGATAATATCAATTAGTCAACATCCATTATCAAATATAAAAAACAATAATATTCGCTGTCAATGTCAGCAAAAACTGTGACAAATAGAGATGGCATTGAGTCGATAACACAACTTACAAAGCGAGAACAACATTATTTACCGATCATGGTAGAATTACAAGGTAACCCTTTCAGGCCAGCTGGTATCAATTTGATATGTCAAAAAATTGTTGTAATTTGAATTCGCCTTGATGTACACATAAGAAAATTGTTGCATGATTTCAAACTTTAACAATGCTATTGATAGAAAATCGAGATTTTACGTTTTTATAGAGTATGAGGGAAAAAGTGTATATTCAACATATGGTAGGCATAGGTAATATGGAGATCTAAAATTCGTGGATATTTGAAATGTGTGAAACAGGGAATCAATTTCATATAGGAAATAAACCGATACATGGAATTTCATCATCTTATTTGTACGGATTTTCAACTATGTTATACACTATAGGGCTTCAACAGTGAAAGGTGAATGATTCCAAAGCATATTGGATTGGTTTGGGGAACAAAATATTGACAATTTCGAATGTATTAAAGTTATCTATGCTTAAAAGACTTCCTGTCTGCTATACATTTCATAGCTGAGCAAATAATATGCCTGGACTCACAGTAGACTCAGCCCCCTGTATCTTCTGCAATCTTTGATCCAAATCTTAAGTAAGCCTAAGGAGTAAATATACCCTAAAGTACCTTTTAGGTAGCATGTCACTACAGCGAGAAAGCTGACGATGTAGCAAAAGAAAAAAGGGTACACCCCAGAACCACCACAAAACCTAATTTTAAAGCATCAAAAATAATTTTCCGGATATTTTCTTGTAAAGAACATTATCGCTGTTGAATATGAAATCAACGTTGCCAACGTTACCAAGACTGCATGCTGTGTAAGGATGATGAAGAGATAACAACGATTGACATCTATTATCGCAAATGTCCTTCGTTGGCGCGCTGGAGACTACAATCACTCCATTTCCAGTCTCTGTGATTTTCAAAAATGTTGTATTGAGCGTGCTATAATCAAACCAAGATGCAGCGGCTTCAGCATTACTTTCAATCAATGTTGGAAGTTTTGAATATTTGCTTTTGTAATAGAAAAAACAACAATTTTGAAAATATTTAATTCAATATTTTGATTGGAAAAATAATTTGCCCCAAATTTTGTACTTCAAATCAATTCGCCCTGACTACAACTTTGACATATCAAGTTTCCAAAAAAAGTTGCTTTGTTGTAATTTTCGCCTATGTTGCTACCTGGTATTTCTACCATGTTACCGATAGAATATTTTATTCATCAATATTAAAGCATGTTTCCATTGGTTTTCGAGCAACTTTGTTCGTTTCATAGTAGAAGAATACGGGTAGTCGCTTCGACACAGCTGCTGGGACAATGAACTGTCAAACCGATTTTGGAATTAAAAATGTTGAATGAAAAATTATTAAAATGTATAAAAATTGTGAAATCCTCCGATTTGCATCGTATAAGAAAATATATATAAATCTACTTATTTTTGACAAAACAATTTTAAAATTTTGACATATCAGTGTTCGCAAGCGTTGATGCATCTACCTATATTCTTCTACCATGGTTCGTTTTCAGAATTATGATATGTTCTCATTGCACTTTCAATTAAGTTGTTCGATCTACGGCACGCTTCGTAATTCATAGTAACATAATTCCTTTTTTCAAAAATTTCGTTTGTTGATTTTAATGGAAATTTATACAGAAATACATGAAATTCTCACTAACATGAATAGAATAAATTATTGTTTTTCTCCCAAAAATTTATTATATCACTAATTTTGCAGTTTTCATTTATGTTTTCAACTTTTTGTGTAAATGTTGACATTTTGAACGTATTTCTATTTTTAAATTCCGCTGGAGAGACACTTGCCAAACATTTTTTCTGAAGATACAAACATTTTGAAAATATTGGCTCCTTTGTTTCCAGTTTTCTGCGAAAATTTCAATTCCTGGACAAAATGCCCACCTCGTTTGAATGTACGCACGCCATTCAACATTGTAGTTTTCATTCATAATTTCTTTCTATTTTGAATTTTTAAATGTCATAATTTATTTTTTCGATAAATATTCTCACTAGTTAGGGAAGGCACACACTTATGGTTTATTTCGCTACAAAAACTCTAGATTTTGTCGATGCATACGTTGAAATAAACATTTTGAAAACCCCCGAATTTGAATGTTTTCTGAACAATTGTTTTGTTATTGAAAAGAAAACACATACATAAACAAATAAAGATGACATATTAAGCCAAGAAAATAAAAAAATTGAAATCATATGGTATCATATCCCTACCTTGATATCATTGTACCATGCGTCTACCCATGGTACAATGAAGAGAAGGTAGGTCAACTTTGAAAAAATTGCAAGTATAGGGGTCTCCCTGTTTGGCTTGTAATGTCAGAATTACTATCAAAACAATAAAAAAGCAAGCAACTTGTTGCATTGATTTTGAATGAATAATTTAAAACCGCGAAAACTGAATGAATGGTCAAAATTTCTTTTCAATACCATGTTCTATATATCTCTTATGGTTTATTTCGCGACAAAAACTGTAGATTTTGTCGATGCATTCGTTGCAATAAGCATTTTGAAAACACCCGAATTTGAATATTTTCTGAACAATTTTTTATTATTGAAAAGAAGGCACACACATAAGCAAATGAAGTTGACATTGTAAGCCAGAAAAATAAAAAAATTTAAATCATATGGTAATTCTGCCCTATCTTGAATTCATTATACCATGCGTCTACCTATATTCTTCTACCATGGTACCATGCTTCTATTCGTCATTGAGCAAGCAGATGTTTTGTTAAGAAAAAATTGTATTTCTAGAACCCTTGGCCTGAATGTGTAGATCTTCTACAGCCCTTCAGACCGATTTTTTCGATCTTCTATAACCCTTTCAAAATCATTGCTTTTGCTTTGAATTTTATCTTTATCACAGATTTCCGCTTTGTTCTCTTATTTCTTGTTGGCTGTGCGTCGGTTTCAATTTGGATAAGCAGACAAAATTTGTAAAAACAAGCTATTTATCCGGGAAGCAAGGTACTTGTTGCATGCGAAACATTTCCTTGAGTAGGACATTTACAAATCACATCCTAATCCATTGCAGTGGTGTACATCCCAACAGTGTTTCAAAGTGTCTCATACATTTGACAATCTGTTTTGCAGGCTAGTCACATCTCCAATGAATGAAGCGTACTTTGACAACCTCAGTGACGTTGAATTACGTCAGGAACTGAAAAAGTATGGTATTCCCGTGGTGCCGATTGTTGAGACCACCAGGAATCTATTGATAAAAAAACTCAAATACCATGCCCTAAATAATGCCAACTCTTCAGCCAGCAAATCGAATAGACGTAGCCTGCAAGCAATGCCTTCAACCACAACAACATCAACAAGACGAAATGTTTCCCCTGGAAGGAGACGAACACACCATTCCTTTGCCCGTCCTGGTACGAACCATCTGGACCCCGCCACAAATATGTCGTACTCCAATGGTACTTCGTCGTCAGAGCACATGGAAGAAAAACATAACTATTTGTCGAATGAAGGCATGCCATACTTATACAGAGACTATGGAAGATCAATTGAAGAAAGGAAGAAGCCAGTGCAAACTAAATCATCTCCAAAAATATATGTACCACCACCAATACTGTCAAATGACGTCCAGCGTTCCACTAAACGATTTGAAACGCCAAATGTTCGAGATATAAAACGGACTCCACCCTATACGGGAAACAACGAATCTTCCGGGGTAGTCAGTCGATTGTTAAAGCTGCGGGATATATCCATAAGAGGAACACACAATACAAGTCCTTCTTACGTTGCAAAAAATCATTTTACATACTCAACTGATTCGGACTCTGATAGCGGCAGCCCAACACGGTTTTCAATGACAAAAAGGAAACAAAATAAATCTATTCGAGAAGTGATTTGGAGCAAACTATATATCAAGGGGAAATTAAAGCAATCATCGGTGCCATATGTCTTAATGTGTTGTTTGGGACTCTTCTTCGCCGTTTTATCGATTTTGTATATGACCAAGCCACCAGACATGCCTAGTACCATGCTGGAGAGAAGTACTTCGTTTGTGTTGTGCGACGAACAAGGAGGCATAGTCTCCATGCCAAGGCCATCTATTGATTGCATCAGTCACGAATTAATTGCACCCTCTCTGACATTGTGCAAGGAACTTATTCAGCTGCTTCAACAAAATACAGAGGTTCATTATTGTCAAAATCGTGATCAGAGCCCAGAGGTTACAGTTTCAGAATTTCTTAAATACCTATACAGGAAAAGATCTTCGGATGGCCATAAACTTTTGAAAAGTCTGAAGTCTGCACTCTACCTAATCGAGCAAAATCCCCAGTGGAAGATACAAATATTCAATTCTTCCGAAGACCCCGACACGATGGATATATATAGGGATGTACGATTCACTCTATTAAAACCTTATCTGCCACTGAAATGTATTCTAATGAATAAACTGCAGCGTTTCCTCTTCATAATTGGTACAACATTTCTAATTGCTTTAATATGTGTCGCTACGTTTGTTATCTGGCGTCTAGTACGACAAAGAAGTGAGAGAAAAATGCGGGCAATAGAAAATTTCTGCAAAGAAATTGTAAAGGAACTAATGCAGAGACGTGCTCTGAAAAACGACTCAGGGGAGGTTATTATTCATCACCTGCGCGATAAACTGATTCCCCTAAATAAGAAGAAATCATTATTGGGCGCCTGGAATGAGGCTATACACAAACTGGAATGCAACGATAGTCGCATACAGTTCGGTACAATTTTACACAATGGCGAAGAATTTCGTACAATGAAGTGGTGTGAATCTGCTTGTCCATCGCCCTCCTCCAGTTTTTTGTCTTCAACCACAACGTATGACAAACAAGACACTGGCAAGCCACAAAAGAAGCAATGGCAAAGCCCAGCCTTTGATAATGTCAACAAAATACTGGATCCTCCAACAAACTGCCTCAAAGTTCGTCACATGTTCGACGAAACAAGCCAGCCCGATCTGCAGTCTGTTATTGAATCGATCCTTGAGAAAGTGGGACCTCAGTGTCAGATCTACGATATTCAGTTGGATCGTCAAAACTGCTGTGTCTACATTCGCTGTGCCAGTGAGAAAGATGCTGGCATTGTACACAACGAAATCAATGGATGGTGGTTCGATAATCGACTGGTCTCAATCAAATTTTTGCGATTGCCGCGTTTCCTTGCACGCTTTCCCAATTCGACGAGTACAACACCGCTTACAATTCGAAATATCACAACATAAGCAATTTCGGTGAGGCAAATATCGAAGATCGCACATCTGCGTTGCAGAACTGAATCAAGAGTAAATGTCAGCATTTCTTTATACGGAACATACACATACTTATGCTTATGTCAATGTAGTAAATAGGATTCATTTTACAAAGAACGATGTTTGTAAGGTGATGTTCGTATGATTTAAGCTTTTACGATTAGAGAAAGAAAAGAAAACAAAAATTAATGTATTTAAAATAGGTCTGTTATTTTATATGTAATCGGATTTTTTAAAATAAAAAATGCTTAAATTATAAGAGTCACATTTTAATGGTTGCAGGAAGATATATTAAACAAGAAAGGTTATACAATGAAAGAAGTACTTATAAATTAGAAGGACATCGGTGATGCCGCTGTGGAAGATTCACATTCAAAAAAAGTTTAATATAAATAAAAAAAAACATTTTTAACAATATTTACAATATTTGGTATGTAACTTAAGGCAATAGTTAACATCAACTTATATTAAATAATAATGTGATTTTTGAGATAATTAAAATGACACTTGTTATCAAGCAATTATTTGGACGTCATCCAAATCTATCCGTTCATTTTTATCAATTCAAAAAATTTAAATTTCGAGGTATATCAGTCCTTTTTTATATCGTATTCTAGGACGCATTATACTTAGTCGCCATTCATTTGACTGCTAAGTAAGGCCACAATGTGTTGCTGATCGGCCCTTTCAGCATAATCTAATGCCGTTAGACCGAGCATATCGGTTTCCTTGATATTATCGGTATAATCCAAGAGATATTGGACAATTTCTTCGTAGCCATGTTGAGCAGCCACATGAAGAGCGGTCCGACCTGAGGGATCAGGTTGGGAGAGGTCCGCTCCAGCCAGCTGGTACGATTGAAGACGTAAAAGTGAACCCCTGGCAGCTGCTGCACACAATTGTTCACCCACAGCACGGGAAGAACCCGTCAAATGGGCTCCACATGTGATGAGCAAGTTTATAATTTCATGATTATCTGTGGTTACCGCCTCCAGCAGAGGCGTTCGCTCATGAATGTCCCTTATGTGGACCGAAACTCCATTCAGTAGTAAGTGATTGACTACTGGCAAATTACCTTTGTAGCATGCCAGATGTAGGCCAGTCCGACTATCTTGATTGACCCCAGACAAATCAGCACCGTAAGCCTTGAGATTGTTAAGCTGAAAATTAGGAATTAATGTAGTTAAAGCTCAAAAATAGTGATTTTTTCACTTGAACCTACTTTTTGAATATCACCTGCTGCAACAGCTGCGTTCACCATGGCTGGAAAGAGGGTAGCACCAAGTTGACTTAATTCCTCGGGAGAAGAAAGATGCAAAGATCTAGCGACTGCATCCACCAAATCATATTCCTCCATTTTCGGACCAGCATTAGATGTTAATTCACCCCTCAGATTGGATTGCATCATCTAGAACGTAGCAGATACATTGTATGGGAATTATCAATTAAAATCTTAAATCTACCTACTTGTTTCTTAACATCATAGGACCATTCACTTTTCCCTAAAACGTAGGATAATTTTGTCAAAGCTGCCTCTGGGGTCATATCAAATCCAGGTATAACGCCAATGTCAAATAGAACTTTGCCCGTTTGATAAATTTCAGCCACTGAACCCGTTGGACATTGAGTACAATTTATAATGATTACACCACGATTACATGCGACCCTTAGCTCGTCTAATAGGTCTTTGCGATTTGCTGGCACATTGCCCGAACCAAAAGACTGTAATACAACCCCCTTCATGGGAGGAGCTAAAAATGCACGAAATGTCGATGTAGAGATACTGGGAAATATTCGAAGAATGCCGACATTTTCATCCAATTGTAAATGGACATTGAAACGGGACACTTTGCACGGTCTAAATATAAGACGATAGTCAATGTCTACATTTATGCCGATGCGTGCAAGGGGTGGTACATTCGGCGAGTCAAAGGCATCCAACGAATTTGAACTCACTTTGACGGTGCGATTTCCCCGCATAAGTTTATTGCCAAAGAAGACACAGACCTCGGGAATCACATAATTTCCAGCAATTATTAGGGCTGAAGTGAAATTGTCCTTGCCGTCGGTGCGTGTCTCAAAAATCGGAATTTGAGATCCAGTTATTATCACAGTTTTGCCGAGATTCTCCAGCATAAAAGATAATGCCGATGCAGAGTAGGAGAGAGTGTCAGTGCCATGTAGAACAACAAAGCCATCGAAGAATTCATATGATTGCTGCGGTCAATATGAAACATTTATTTGAAAGTTACTTATTTTTTTCGGCAATGGTAACATACCTGTATATCCTTAGCTATTCTAGCCCAGTCGTTCATTGTCATGTTACTAGAGTCCAGAAGTGGATTATACTCCGTTATTTGATAAATAACTCGATTACTTTCGCCCTGGACGTATGGCAGCACCAACGGGGCCATAGATGCCGATGGGCCAAAGCGTTTCTGTGCGTATTCTTCGTCATGCATATTGGGATACTTGCGGATTCGTTTCACCAATGCATTCGGTATAGGAGCCAAAACTGAAATAAAGCAAATTTACCGATTTAATTCAACTTTGAAATTATTTCTGGAATTTAAACATTTACCATTTCTTTCATTTCTGACCATGCCAATTGTACCGCCCGTATATATGACTCTGACTCTGGTTTCCTTTGTTTCTGTGGGCATGAGCTTGCCATAACTAGTATGCGGACAAAATGTGAGTGTGTCATTAAGATTGTATCGACAACAACAGGCTTACCTGGTGTTCCGCTTTAGAGAAGAGCTTTTAGTGGGCGATGATGGTATACACGTGTCCAGCGAGGATAATGATTTCAATGTCGTTTTCATGGTCAAACCACAGTCGGTCTCATCAGAGAAGTGTATACCATTCCCATTTGAAGGTTCATTGTGACCAGTGTCATTTTGATTGGACATCTGAAAAGAATTCAACAATTATACCTCTGAATATTCTTATCTCTTCTAAACATTTGCACATTTTCGTTTATAGAATGTTGATTTTACGTTATTCTCTATTATAAAACCATGCAAAAGATACGAGTGTAAGAAATTCTCTTTATCTTTTTTAGCAGAAATTTAAAGACAACAGTTTAATGCTTATCAGTCATTCTTTACACCATCTTGGAAAAGTGGCCGTTCTAAGATGACATTATAATACATTAATGTTCTTCCTTTGAAGAAATTTCAATAGATCTTTGTTTGATCTTAATTATTTTGTGAACATCCTTCCCTTTCTCTTAATATATTAGAGCCAAACATGGTTTTCCTTTCTCAAAAATAAAATGGAATAAAATAAACACAAATAAAACAAACCATGGATAAGGAAACAACGTCTTATTTTAGAATCAAATATACGTAAATAAAGATTTTGATTACATTAGGCCAATGGTGTCTTTAACTCAAATCTTCTTTGTTAATAGCATTTTTTATTCACAAATAATTTATTAGAGATTAAAGAGCGGTCCGTGACACGTTAAATTATTTTTTTTTAAATTTTTATTTATTTTGTTAAACGATAATAGTAATTATTGTTTACTTTATTTCTGATAAAAAGCTTTAATTTTTATCGTATCTAATGCACTTACCTAAAAGTTTTAACTATACTTTCAAAAAACACTTGGAACTTTTTATTCTATTTTCGTAATTGTTTTTATTTATATAATTCTTCAATACTTATATTAGTCGAATTTTTCTGTACATATTTATTTCGTTATCCAAAACATGTTTTCCCTCTTAGTATTGTTAGGGGTTGTACACAAATGTGTGAATAAACAATGCATATTTGTTCGGTTTAAAAGTGATACAAAAATAATTTAAAGCGTTAATTATATTTCTAATAGTATTTGTGGCTAAAATTTATAATAGTCAATAAATTGCTTCGCGAGTTGCTGTGTAATTGTATTGTTGTTCTTATAAAAAGGTCGGTAAATATTTTGTACGCATCCGTTAGTGCATAAATATAAATCATGTGAGGAAAGAATGCCTGAGTTTATGAAACACTTAACATAACTGGTGCAAATATATTGTTATATAATTATTTGGTTACAAAACCCAGTTAGCAGGCTTCATTACAATCCTCAACGTTTGCCACGAATTTGTTGTTGTTTGTAAATAAAATAGATATTTAACTATATTATAAATTTTAACTACTGCTTCTTAACTCACTTCCACAGTCATACAAAAGAAGAATAATTATACAAAAAAAAAAATATTTTCCCAAGGATAAGACTTTTTCGTAAAAGAAAAGAAATTTCTCTCATATTTATTAACCTTAACTACTTTTTTGAGTATTTGTATAACTATCTAGTCACTAAACAAAGGTACAAATAATTTGGGATAACTTATACAGGGTGAGATAAAAAAAACTGCAACAAAAGTCAAACGCCATAATTTTTACATTTTTTTTTAAATAAAAAATAGCATCAAATTTTAGAATAAGTTTAGATTTGTTCGAATGGTCGATTTTGGCTCGAATTATTGCCTTCAAATGGCCAATGAAATCGTCACAAGCTACCCGAATGTGGCTCTGCAATATTTGCGCGATAATATTCGGCATTTATTCCTTGCCACGGTCGATTAATACGAGCGGAGAGCGACCATCGGCTGTTATGGCAGCCTACACCATCACCATGGCCGACGCTTGAGTTCTGGTGGCCAACCGAATATGCACATTTTCAGCTGACCTTTTGGCAAGTAAACGCGATCATTTTGTTTGTTTACAACGAATTCTGGACAAAGAATGTTTTCTCATCGGAGAAAACGAAATTCGGTAGCTCTTTTGAGACTATTTTCTTTCTGTTGCGGTGTAAGTTCTTGCACTTTTTGGAATTTCAATGGCTTTACCCCGAGCTCATTTTTCAATATATGCCGAATGGAATATTGCGATATGTTCAGCTTACGAGCCATTTTTCGGCCACTCCGAAGCGGGTTTCGATCAAGTCGCTTCTTTACATTTCGAACCATTTCTGCTGATGTTGCTGTTTTCTTCCGTCCACTTCCATGACGTCGGGCTACATTACCAGTATCACGGTAACGAGCGATGGTACGAGACACAAAAGATTTGTTCACATTTAAATGCTGGAGTGCTCTAACGATAGCCATTGGTGGTTTTCCAACCAAATATAAAGAAATTACACTATCACGCATGAATTCCATCACGAATAATTTTCTTCTGGAAAATTCTCACCAAAATGCTTTTGTACGCTTGTAAACAATATAATGAGCTGTCACTGGAATAATTTTAATGTCATGTTTACGTTAGAACTTTTTGTAGGGTTAACCTTCTTTGAGAGCATTTATTTGAAGTAAAAGTAATGGATATGACAATTTAAATCCAAATCCAGTGGGTTAACCCTCATATATATATAAACGTACTATAACATCTGGTTTATAAGTCCGCCAAAACTAGTAGTGGAATATTTTTCGAATACATAGTTGAAAAAAACTAAAGATTCTAATGTTAATATTACGAACCAAATGATAAAATTAATATGCCCTCCATAGTAAAAGTATTACTAAAATAACTTTTTAATGAATCATAAAACAATTAGCTTTTAATTAGTGTTGTTATTTGATTATTATCTTTTTACTTTTCAAATAAAATTTATACCCTCAATGCATTCTATAAAAAGTTGATTAGTTATCTAGGAATAACCTCACAATTTCATTCTAAGTTATACACTGGTGGCCAAAACTAAAGCAACTTAAATCGCAAAGACAATAAATGTCCTGTAACTTTTACAAAAATAAAAAAATCATAATTATTTTTCCAGTTTTAAATGAGGGGTTTAATTCACTTTTAAGAAACTAAAAATAAAAATACAAAAATAATTTTGAACGAAAAATAATATGTGGAAAACTAAAATGACCCAATTTTTGCTTGGTCAAAACTAAAGCAACTTTTGATTTTTTATTTTAAAATAATTAAATTTTGGCTAGTAGTCGATAGCATAACCATTATTTTTGATAGCAGCTTCAAACCTACGAGGCATTGAATCTATAACACACTCAATTTGATCCTTGGGTGTGCCTTCCCAGGCACCCCGAATTCTTTAGAAAATGTTGTGCTTATTTATTTCCGAATCTCTCTTGATCTTCCTATCTACGATACTCCCAAGGTTTTCTAAGGAGTTTAGGTCAGGTGATTGTGCCGGCCATAACGAAACATGAATTTTTGACTCCCGCAACCAATATTTGGCAAGTATTGATACAAGTTTGGGATCATTGTCATGCTGAAACACCCAAATCAGCCGAATATTTTACTCAGCGTAAGGGAACAACGTGATGTCCAACACATCTTTGTAAACAAACCGACCCACAACTTCCTTTATTTTATGGATAGACCCAAGTCCATAGAAAGAAAGACAGCGCCACGCCATTTTTGACCCTCCCTCATGCTTCACTGTACCTTTGCAACACTGCGGCTTGAGTCCTTCATTTTTTGGCCTTCTCACCGTAAAATTTTTCACGTCTGAGCCTTTAATATTAAACGTAGACTCATCCCAGAAATAATGTTTTTTCCATTGAGCTTGATTCCACTTAATATTATCGTTTCCGAAAGCCTTTTGGATTTTTTCAGATATAAATGGGTTTTTGATGTCATACGGGCATGCAGACCAGCTGCCACTACTGGTCTACGCACTGATCTCGAGCTTATATCCAATGATTGCTCTCTCACCAATCCAGTTGAACTCTTTAATAGTTGTTTTTTATTTCTCTCACAATTTTTGGATCAGTACGGGCTGAAGTTTTTCACGGTCTTCATCCGTTATAGACTGTTACTACTGATCCAGTTTCAAAAAACTCACTTAGTATACAGAAATAATTATGAAATCACATAAATATTTATGAAATATTTCTCGGAAATCATTTTCTGTGATATGTTGTTTTGATAGTCACTGATAAATACCTGTTTTATTCAGGTACTGTATTTGCTTTAAGCCATTTTTTAAAATTTTTTTGGGCAGTACTTAAAAAACAAAAGAAAAATACATACTGTTGTAAAAAACTTCTAAAAAGGATTTATGACAAGCAAAATTGTCGAAGAAAGCAAAAAGCGATAAATATCACAGTAAAAACAACTGAAATTGCAGCGGTTATATGAATATACAACAGAGTTGCTTTTGTTTTGTCCAAGCCAAAATCGGGTTAATTGACTTTACCAAACATTATTTTTTATATAAAAATGAATTTTTATTTTTTGTTTTAGGTTTTTAAAAAGTGAATAAAGTACCTAATTTAAAACAAGAAAAACATTCTCATTTTCTTAATTTTTAAAAAAGTTACAAGGCATTCATTCTCTTTGTAATTTCAGTTGCTTTAGTTTTGGCCACCAGTGTACATGGGTATTTTTGGTATTTTTTTTAACGTATATTCAACGTGAATTCGGTTCGTATAACTATACAAACGTTTATTTATATATAACGTAATCACTATCAAACTACCTTTGCATAATGAATCAGAGTTTAGACGAATTTTTAAGGGTTATTATTTTTCGGTTGCAATTGATAATGAATTGTATTTATGCCCGCCATTGTGGAATTCTATTAATACAATGAGGCTATATCGGACCGATTATACTAGATAGTAAATAAATGGGTTTAGGTATATTAATACAAAATCTTAAACCAATGCAAGCCAAACGAATGTCAAAGAGCGCAAGACAAATAAAATGCGAAACGCTTTTTCTTAGCAGACAGAAGTAAAAAACATAACTTATGGGTTATTTATGATGAAATGTATTAAAAAATATTTTAAAAATCTAATAAAAGGCGTACGTGGTGCGTGCACTTTTTTGTTTTGCCAAATTTATACTGTATAGTCCTAACCATTGCGCAATTAAATTTGCTTGCAAATAGGGGACCAAAAGTTATTTTAAAATCTTAAAATATTTATAGTCTGTTTTTTACAAAATTCTTTTTAACGAAAATCTTGCGTTTGTCAGGAACGCTAAAAAAGTAAGATAATCCCATTAGTGGACGAAGAGAAAATACAACCCAAATACAAAATAACATTTTTGAAAACTTTTGCAGCTTTGTAGAGATTGGAACAGATATAGCTCATCCTTTTGCATTTTATGCGTTTCAGAAATTTCCAAACATTGGGGACACATTTTAAAGTCATGAGGGCTAAGATTAATCAGACATGAGCGCTAAGATTAATCTGGAAATAATTTCGGAAAAATCGAAGAGTTTTTACTGAATTAGAGTTTTTTAAAGATTGTACCATAGATATGGGGTTTGAAATATATATATGTATGCATGGTACACATAAAAAACAAATTCATTGTTTGGGGGTGACACGCTCACCCACAGACTTTAAAACAATAATTTGTCTAGGATTTCACTCACCCACAGACTTTAAAACAATAATTTGTCTAGGATTTCGACTTTTTCAAAATACTTTGCATAAGAAAAAATGCAACGTATTTTCTATTTTGCATTCATTTTGTTTTGTAACTGACCACATTTTTTCAAATGATAACCTTAAACCTGTCTGTCAGAATCCATACAAACAATAATGACCCTTCAACGTGTTCGTGGAAAATTCTAAAAAAGTATATATCTCATTTTCCCCGTAGGAATAGTACGGAAATCGAAAAGCAAATTACATCAGCCCAAATTTGGTGTTTTACTTACTTTGCAGTTTATAAAAAATAGCCGATGTTCTCCAAAAAAATGTCGGAGGTAATGTTGCTAATTGTTATTTGGACAAATTTCACCACGGCATAAACAAATGACTAAGGCGTTACGTGAGTACGTTTGCAGACGACGTCCCTTCCTGCTTCTTACTTTCAAAGAAGTTCAAATTCGATAAGTAAAGCACATGGATATGAATTTTATCTAATATTCCACAATTAACACGTCACGGTAATTCACGGCAAGTGAATTTAAGTTTTGATTCCGCCAACAACAATACACCAATGTGTATCTATATAATCTTCACAAACCACAAATTGCGCACCGATAGACACTTAAAATTTTGTCAGCTGCTTTTCTATTGATTTTCTTCTAATTTTGCCACACTGACAATTATTTGTTTTATATTTGCACTTCACCAAAAAAGAGCTATGTTTAGAATATCAAATATCGATCTAACTCCGCTCCTCCAAAAGTACACCCCGACCCAATGAATTTTGAAATACAACTAAATTTTTTTTCTATCAAAACAAAAACATATGCTGATTTCGCCCATTCTGTCAAAATAAATTTGTTTATATTTGGAATTCGCCGTAAAAAATTATAAGCTGTCATCATATAACAGGTCTGTCGGTTTACTTTTCCTGCAGGAATTGTCAAGCAGTTTCTTTCTGAGTGTAAGATAGCTTCATTCTCTTTTGCAAGAAACTGTAAAAAGTAAACAGACGGAATGCCTGCATAAACTTGCAAGCTATCAGCTGATTTGTCAAAAATCGAAGCATTTTTGTCAGCCATAAAAAAATGAAGCACCGCCCTTTACACGACATAATTAATTGGCCTTGGCATGATCCAAGTATAAAGTCCTCCTTCCAGCTCTACTGATTACTAAACGATGTGTCAATTAAATTTGAATTCGCTGCAACCACAACAAACTACACAAATCAAAGATGGAAACCATTTTTCTGTTCACTAAAATTTGACAAGGTAAATTACAGTGAATGCGGAGATGGATCATATTATTTGAAATGACATTACCTTGTTAATTTTACCATGGTATTGAAGAATTTTTACTTCATGGTAGGATTAAGAAGGTAAAGTCATTTCAAATAAACATATCCATATCTGCATTTTCTGTAATTTACCTTGTCAAATTTTAGTGAACAGAAAAAAGGTTTCCATCACTGATTTGTGTATATACAATGGATTTATAAATATACATTTTTACAATGAGAAGTTGTCAAATGATCAATTTTGAACAAAAAAATATAAACTCAATACTTTAAGGAATCGATAGCGGACAAAGAAACATCTCTTTCAAATCCAAACCGAAATACAAATTCTGTAAAACACAATTGTGGATATGTACTGTCGCAACAAAAAACAAGTCTGGTTTAAGGTGTGGGCACATGAGCAGCTTAGCATCAAGGCTAGGCATACTAATGCCAAATTATAGGTAAAAAGGTCACAAAGTATGCCATGGAATAAACAATTTCTCAGTAAACTTTACAAGTAATTTTTGCTAGAAAAGTAATCGTACATACCTATTATTAAATTTAAAATGTCAAATAATATTAAATATAATTAGTTGTTTTCCAGAACCTGCAAATTAGTACTAATTAGCACTAATTCTGCTACAACGCGTTCCCGTACTCCAAAAACTAGCAAAACTTGCAGCTCTCTCGAGAAAAAAATGGCGCTGAGTGGTGCACATTTCTGCTTGTTTTAGCTACATGAATTTGGCCGAGCAGAAATGTGCATATTGTAAATTTGACATTTAATTGGCAGGGCTAACAAGGTTGAAAAATGTATTCATACATTTCAATAAAGAAAATGATCAACTTGAAAACTAAAGGAAAAACTAATATTTGTCGTGCAAAAAACAAAAACAGAAAATATAGAGCAACTGATGTATTCACTTTTGGATGATTCCAGCAGTGAAGAGGACTGGCTGAATGAGGAATTAGATTATTAATTATGATTATAAATTTTAACTTATCGTCTTCAATACTCATTTTTAAATGTTGGCGCTCTTTTCAGTAAGGTTTCACCAGTCCGATTTCGAACTGTTCTCTCTTCTGCTAGTTTTACTTCTAAAAAAGTACTGGAACACAACTATTGTAAGCAGCTGGTAGCTCTACCTTACCTTTTTATATTAAGTTAAGTACCACGATCTTAGCGATCTTAAGTACTTCTATATTAAAACAAAACAAGAGAACATTAAAAAAAAAATAAAAAGCAGTGAGTTCAGTCGGTTCGAACTTTGAGTACCCTCCACTATTTGTAACGAATTTAAAATTTTTCAAAAAATAAAATAAAAATACCGAATATTGTCGCTATATTGGAGTGTATACGACGTGGACCTACATAGGAAACTTTTGTCATAAACCATTACAATATTCAAATGCGAAACTTGAATAAAAAAAATTGGTGAATAATGTAACTAAAATCATCAAAATATCGTATATAGGGAGCTACCGTTATATCGGAGCTATACGAAGACGTGGACCTGCATAGACAATTTTCTGTCACATACTGTAGCATCCATTACGAACATCAATACCAAATATGAAACAATTCCGGTGAATAATGTCGCTGAAATCATAAAAATACAGAATATAGGAGGTACCGTCATATGGGGGTTATATGAAAACCTGAATGGCCCATTTACGAATTCAACCTGCCTACAGGCAAAATAAACATGCGTGCAAACTTTTAGCCGTCTATTTCAATTCGTTCGAAAGATAGCGTGATTTCAACAGACAGACGGACATCGCTAAATCAACTTAGAATTTTACGCTGATCCAGAGTATGTATACTTTGTTGGGTCTGACATGAGTATTTCGAGGAGTTCCAAATGGAATGACAAAGTTAATATACCCTCCATAGTATGGTGGAGGGTATAATAGGTTAGAAAAATTTATGTTTCCACACGAAGTTGGATTTTACAAATCTATTAACGTATTTCAATATCTGACAGCTGAAATATATACTTTTCTCTGTCCGGATGAACAATATTTCGAATAAAAAAAGCCAATGGGCGAAGTCTTTTTCTCTGAAATTGATATTTAATTACAACAAAACCATTCTATTCCATTCTGTATTTTAATGTAGTCCTGTTCTTGAACACTAGGTCAAAAAAGCTTTGGCCTATATCATTACAATATTATGCAATCAAACACAATTACTCCGTAGCAGAGGTATATTTCCACTGAATTATATTTAACTACATTACTTACGATGTTTTCTACCTTCATCATAATCTGAACGGAATAAATGAGCTCTAAACAAATAATTCGCTAAATAACAAGATGTTTTAATTTCAATTTTATTTCAGCTTAAAACTGATACATAATCCATTCTCTTCTTAAGACAGAATTATTGAAGTTGTTTTCCAAACTATGATCTGATTAAAATTTACTTTTGGTTGTTTTGTTTCTTATTGCGTTTTTAAAGAATGTGTTTTCATTTTTTTGCTTCATTTTATAAATCGGCCCTTGCCAACAACGCCAATAAATAAGCTTAAAATTATTAAATACAATTTCATTTTCTTTTGCATAATTGAATAGAGTTTAGTAAATATTCGCATTTTATGTATGTTTGCCGGGCTTTTAGTTAATATCATATCAAGAAAATATATGTTTTTTGTTTTTCTAATAAATTGTTGATCAGTTATATGGAGTTATTTGCTTGTTCTTTTTTAATCTTTTGTAAATACGCATATTTTAGAAATATAGTTCGTTTTTTATTTGTTTATTTCTTTTTTGTTTTCAAAAAATCACATCAAAATTACGTTTTGTTTTTACCATTTATTGTGTAGTTATTAGTTTCTCTTCTTAAAAATTGATCTCTTGTGTGATGATTTTTTCTTGGTGGCTTCCAAAAATATTGTATTTTTATATAAACTATTTGTTCTCTTCGAAATAAGTTTTTATGAGTTGTACTATTTTTACCATGTTTAATTCAGGTAATGGTGGGACAAGACTGTGTACGTTGTTATTTAATAGTACAGGTAGGTATTTATGATTAGGGGACTTACTTATTTGTGTTGTGTACGTGGAATATTTGCAAAGTTATATCTAAATATTCAGATAAATGTTAAAGGAAACATTCCCCTTTCATGATATACAAGTTTTCTCTAAGATCAAATTGAGGATCTGATTGAATTCAACTATCGATTAAGAATAAAACTTTTTATGTACCGTATAAGGTTTTTGAAAAAGAGGATGAGTTCCAATGAATAAAGCGTAAGATTATTTTAATTCTGATTTTCATTATTGTTACATATAAAACGTTTCAAAGATTTGATAACTTTCACAGGTAAATTGAACATAGTCTATATATTTCAAAAGTTTTAGATCTTACTAATCGCACAGAGTCATACTCAAAATATTTTTTGTATACGTCCAATTTTAATAATTATGACAAAAAACTTAAGTAAAGTAGAAACTTTTAAATTTGAAAACATTCAAATAGAGGATAGTCTCAAATGTAAACATTTTTCATAAATATTAGACCTTATTAAAGCAGAGAGTCATACTCAAATTTTTTTAAAGTTTATATCTAATTTTTAAATTATCACAAAAATCTTAAGTAACGTAAATAAAAAACACAATCGGCAGTTAAAGCAAAAATTTGGGTTACGTTTTAAATTGTTTTAATTTGAGTAGTGTGGTACTTTCAAAACATCAAGACATCTATGTAGTCAAAATTGGACAATCAATACGAAGGTATTAAATATTTTTTTTTTTTTTCGATTTAATCAGTTTAGATAAGAGATGAAATCAATGTCAATTAATTTTCAATGCATATTTGTTTCAATCGGATAATAGTTTTATATATTATGCAATTCGAAATGTTTATATTTTCATGACTTGGAGACTGAAACGAAAACACAGTCAATATTCAATTTTATATTCATTTTTTTGAAATGTTTTACGAATCAGTTTAAGTAAAACGAACTATGAAACGTTTGTTCAACTCCCAGAAGCAGACATTTGAGACAAAAAAAAAAAAAACATTTTCTGGCAAAGATATATATTGAAATCTTTGCAAATATACATAGTACACAATGAATTTTACTACTGGCCAAAGTTAACTTTAATTTACAATTACAATAATATTGATATTCAGTAACAACAATTTAATATTTTACAGGCAAGGATAGCATTACAATCTATGTATGTATGTCTACATGTAAAATAGGATGCGTATATAATTATAATTATATGTATGGTAGTATGTCTGAGTTTCAATGAATAGGTGACTAAATCTAAAACATTCCCACTCAACCGAGAGTATCCAATGAATTCCTAAGTTTTTTTTCTGTTTATGGTTGTTGATTGATAAATAAATAACAATAGCTATTCGTGTTTTGTTATGTATAATTATAAATATATGCATGTATGTAATTAATAAAATATCAGGGAACAGGAAATAATAATACTACCGTACATCAATATCGTTTCCGTCCGAAATGTACCGTTATGCACTTAGTTTATAGTGGTAATAGTGTGTTGTTATGTTGCCGCAGCCAGATTAAATCCTTGCAGATGTTTTTACATATATATCCACTAAATACTTTGAGGGGATGGATTGTGAACGAGCATGTAATGTTTCCATTGAAGTTTGAATTCTTTTGCAATATTAGGCTCCAGTTGTGTCATATTTTGAATGCCTTTACCATAAGTTTAGTGTTTTAGTGTATATTTATCTATATGTGATTATTTATGATATATGTATTTATGTATGTTTGTTATTCTTGGAGGATTTTATGTAGTTTGTAATACCATCATACAACAGGAGGATACAGTCTTTCTAGCCAGGTACCTGTAGGGTAAAACAAATTCCAATTAAAACTCTGCTTAAATATCCTATCCTAGTTTATGGCAAATAATAATGAAGAGCACAACAGTTCAATATTTTTTGTAAGTAATATTTTCATGTTTAAGACAAAATATCATTTGTTTTATTAAGAATTTATTGTACAACATTATAAATAAAATCAACCGGCAATTGGTTTTGTACAAAATGTACAGACATCAGAAGGACTCTTTTTAATCTTGATGTCTCTCACATGAGATTAGTAAAATATTGAATGAATGAAAAACAGTTAACAACTTTTGATAATAAACAGCACATCTTGGTACTTACTGCGTGACTTATATTAGACGTCTTTTGGTTTGTTTGTTTAGTTTTAAATCTAATTTTGAGTAATGATTGATTATATTAATTGTTTGAACGCACTGACGCACTTCTAAATCCTCAGCTATGTGTTTGCTTAAGCACTTTTATGTGGTTATGCTGCTGGTAGTAGGTGGTAGGTAGAGGTTAGATTAAACGTTTCTGTTTGCTCTGGCAAATTACTTCTGTCTATTGATTGTAGGAGGTATAATAAGATATACATTTAGGTTTATTGCATATGTGTACGTATGTTGTAATCAATATGAAGACGGACCTCACTATACAGCATCTACATATGTTGTCCGCGTTGTATTGTTTACAGATTTCACATTTGATGAGGCGCTATCGAGGATGATGAGTGGGCTAACTGCTAATTGAATGGATTGGAGGCGCCACGGATAGCTTTTGGCAATTCGACACGCGCTGGGCGATGCTGCAGACTATGCCAGGAAGATTAATTTTGGTGACCAAAATAGGTCTTGCGTTTTAAATAGCCACTGCGTATTGGCGACGACAGACCGGTCTCGTTGCTGATTGGTAGGGTAACGTTTGGTTGGTTCATTGACGACGTCATTTGGTTCGTGGGGATGTTGGTGGGTTTGTGGTGAGAGTATAGATACAATACAAAGTAAATGATTATAAATTCTTGGAATATCAACTGTTTGGTAAGGTGAAATGCAAGGTTTTCTCTACAAGGTTGTAACACAACATTCATTAAATACTAATTCTTCATAATTGTTTGTTTGTTTTCTGTGATTGTTCGTTTGCTGTGTTCGCGATAAGGTGTGTCCAACAACGACAACGAAAACAACAACTTCAGAGTCCTTGTTCGTTCGTTACAGCACCATTAGTTGCAGATCTAAGCGTCCTGTTGCTCATGCAGCCTAATATAAACAAAAGAACGGATATGGGGATGGAGGGGGACGGCAGTGGTGTTAGGTTGGTGGTATTGGTGTTAGTACAAGGAATTTTGTTGCAACGAGTACATGGCAGGGGCGTTGGTGGTTGTGGTGGTGAGGAACAGTAGTCCATGATTCAAAAAGGCCAAAAGATGCACAATTTAAAACGATTTAAAACGAACACAGAAAATGAAAAATAAGAAAAGAAGAACAAAAAGAATGATAAATAAAGAAACAAATAAAACCACACTTTATAAGTATTTTATTTAGTTGTATGCATAAAATTACATTATAGCTTTTTAGTATTATTTTGTTCGCTTAGTTCAGGAAACACACAAATAATTTGGTAACAAACAGAGGATTCAATAAAACTAAAAACCCAACAAATAATCCAAACAGGGTCGGTTGCAATTAATTTCCCTCTGTTAGAAAATGTAATCTTCCTCATAGATTTGTTTAGGGTTGGTTGTGTTAGTAGGATCGAATGTGTTGCTATGTTCGGAAATAATAAGAAATAATTTTTACAATAAAAATCTAGATTTTGTTAAAGGGGTTAAGTAGTTGAAACCAAAGAAGAAGGAACAAATGGAACAAAAAATTTAATGCAAATAATTTAATAACATTAGTGCCAATACTGAAAAGGACAATGCAATGCAACACAAAAAACAAAACAGATTTAAATATTTTTTCTATATTTACATACATACGTAAGCAGTGTGTGGATAAGTGTATAGTGTTCAATGTCGACTTTAATTAGGAACTAATATGTTTTAAATCCATAGGAACGAGTTTTATTTGACTTTTATGCTAACAGACTAATGTTTGCTATATACAGATTTAGCTTATCCCACATTTAGAGAGAATCTGACCGTACGTGGAAGTAAATGTTATTAATAATGTATGTAATGTAGTTCCTAAGGATTTGACATACAACGAATTTGTGAATACGTACATTCGAGCATACATTCATATACAACGGCTTTGGACCAATCAATAAAATACTTATGTACTCTACCATACCCGTTGAGAATATGAGCAAAAGTGCAACTTACCTTCTACGTCGGGGGTTTGCCGTTTGCCCCGGCAAATTGAAACAGCCACGAGGTATAACCATACGAGCATTGCCCTTTGCAGGTCGAGATCCACCAACTGCTTGCAAGGCGGCCAAATGAGCAGCATAGCCATCATTTAGGACCGTAGCATTAGTTTGTAGTTTTTTGCTAACCTAAAATGAAATTATACGGATCAGCCGCATAATGCCAGGGGACAAGATGAGAGTTTCAGCTTACCTTTCCCACAATGAATATTTGATCCATTCGTAAACCCACATTAGTATAAACACTAATATCTTTACTACTGCCGTAAGCTGCCATTATAGAGATTCCGTGATTTTGAACTAAATTATTTAAATAGGCTGTCTTATGACCGAGCGGATCAGTGGTTAGTCCATCGGCAAATGATATCAGACCATGGGGAAAATTGTGTTGGCTTAGCCAGGAAACAACACGTTGCTGCTGCATATCCGGTCTACCGGTCATATAAATTAGCAAATAACCATGTTCCTGCCAGTGGCGGCACACATCCACCGCACCAGCTCGTACCTTTGGATCGCGACCGGTAACTGAAACGGAAGCTGTAAAGGAACCGTCTATACTGAACACCACACATTCCGTTAGGGGTGGTACAACAGCCAAATAACAATCCACCGATGTGTGATCGCCCCTTACAACCATCTTAACGGGATAAATGCCATAACCACGAGTGACGTCATCGGGAATTGTGTAGGAAATGCGACCAGTCTTATCTGTGACTTCAGTACTTAAATAAGTCCACTCGCCAGCAGGCGGATCTTTCATAATGTGTACATCGACCTTTTCACCATGCAATGTGATCATATCCAATGGTCCATACATAAATCGAGCATTTATGCGTTTTTCACGTCCATCCAGTACTATAACGTCGTTCGCCCGATGATTGGCAGCAACGTTCTTTAGTTTGACGGATGTCCTCTTCCGTATCCATTTTTCACATGGCTGGCCTGGGTTGAACTGAACGCTCTCCTTGGTGTCTGACGAGCTAACATATGGAATGCCTTCAAACTTGCCAATCTGAAAAATATTTATGACAATTTAGTGGAAGCCCGTTAAAAAGGATGATTGGCTTTTATTTGACCAACCTGTCTCAAAATAAAAGCTATGACATCTGCACTCTCCCAATAGCTTGCATGGAACAAATGAGGCAATGCATTGGCCGGGAAATTGCTCAATCCTTCAGGGCAGTAGAGAGCATAGTCTAGACGTTTGGTTCCCCACCATTTCATTTGTACTAAAACGAGAATAATGAGAGAATCTGTTGGATAAATGATGCACCAAATGTTTTGCAAACCGCAATAGATAAAGCTTCGAATTTGGATTATAACGGTGGGTATATTATAGCACTTCAACTAATGGAGAGGGACAACTTACTTGTATTAATGGTACTTAGAGATATATTTTCTATTAGACCCGATACTGTACTTTGCATGGAAGCATCCGATAGACGACGGCCGCCCAATAGATTATGACCTTCGCTGAAGTGATGGGGATGAGATTGTATAACCTCCACTGTAAACAGAACAAAATTATCCAATGTTCACACTTGGAATGGAGTAGCTCACATAAATGCAATGGTTGTCCATTTCCCAGGGGGTATTTGGCATATCGTGGTACATTGACTGGAGCCAACATTGAAAATCTTGCGCTTAGCAAAGGTTCCAGACGGGAAGCTGTCGGATCGGTTGGATGGAATAAATTGTAAACTTGATGGCAATTGGGTCGCTGCAATGCTGTAAAAGAGAAAATATTGGTTTATACAAGATTTTCACAGACGTATAACTGGAGACACACCTGTTTTAGAATCATGTAGTTTTTTAGCTGCCAAAACAATGGACAATGGTGAGCCAAACATGAAGAAGTCACTAACCTCAAACTCTAATTTCGAGTTTTTGGAATCACTTGAAGAAGACGAACGCCGTCGGCGAGGAGACGGTGCAACCAATAGTCGTTTTGCATCCATATCACTGTCATCGAAACGTTCGTCGTCATCGGTAGTACGCGATGAACGACTGCCACCGTCGTTGGATGAACCACGACACAAAGCTTCGTAGGCCAAAAGCGAACCCATCGAATCGCCCAGCATTACCACTTGACCAGAAAACCCATGGCCTTCCTCGGATTTTAGGAATTCTTGGTAGACAATATTGGCAGCAACCACAGTTTTATTGACCGTATCTTGGAATTCCGGCGAAGAAACAGAGAGCAATGGAATGGCTCCTATAGGAACATCGGCTATATTGGGTATATCCGCAGAAGGGGAGGCATCAAACGAGTACGGACTTAAACTTGAGAGTATGCCCAGGGCGTCGGTACAAATGGATGGACAAGGAACCATTTTAATGGTAACATGACTTAAAAGGCTCGGATAATGTTGGCGCATCACGGACTCGAAGGCTCCGCGGAAAGTAGTTACATCTGATTTTTTGGAAGTTAATTCACTGGTGGCATCTAAAAATATCAGAAGTTATAGCTGCACTTGCATAAATTGCATACAAAATCCTACCCAGAACACTTCCGGCATGTACCACCATAATGAGTATTGTTGTGGAACACGAAGGTGTTCCTGGAGAGCCCGGCGGTGATCCATCATGACCTCCCCTTTCTAAACTAGCCGAAGATCTCAATTGTCGTTTATTCCCTCTTTCCGAAGCCACACGCATCAAAAAGTCCTGATTAAAAATACTATCATCTTTGTTATTCTTCCCAGGTATTCCACTGTGAGGGGGCGGACTGTCGTCAGTTTCACCCAGAATTTCCAAGGAACTCCATTTTGCCAGGGAGTTGGTTTCATTTGTATCTGAGAAAGAAAAACAAAGTTATAGGTAACACATAAAGGATATCTACCAAACACAACAAACCTACGCAATCGAAGAATTCTTCATCTGAGTTTGATTTCGAATCAACTTCCAAACGTTCCATACGCCAATTCGCTACCTATTAAAAATGACGGCAAAATGAGATTTAGCAGCGAAAATGAGGAAGTCCATTTAAATACTATCTCCCTAGTTACGATTGTCAACATGAAATATAACTTACATTTTTGTGTTTAGCATTTTTGGCATGCGGCTTAAACATTTTAGAAAAAAATAGGATTTTAAAAGAAAAACATTTAATTGGAAGGAAGAAGAACACAATAGAGAATCATGAAAAAGGCAGCATTCAACAAGTAAATAAATAAACCCGTCTGTTTGCGGAAAAGAACATTGAGATTTATGGGAAAGAAGGGTGATAATAGAATAGATATATACTACTTTTTCTTCGGAACCCTATCACAAAACCTCACTTTTCTTTCCGGCAAACTTTACGCGTGTGAATTGCAACTAAGGTGGCGTTTTTCTGAAGAGGGAAAAATATTTCCAATTGATGCAAAATCGTAAGCTTTAAATTGAAAGAAATTGATTGAGCATTATTTCAATGGGAAAAAGAACAGAGTTGTTGGACAACACTACAATCCTCAAGCACTGAAATCGCGGTTTGGCGGTTTTAATCGACAATACTTATAAGAAGTAATAAGAGTACTTAGAACATTTAACATAAGCCATGCAACAAATTATTTGCTATAATACATATATTAACCTACTTACTTGCAATTCAAAACTTTGGGCAGATCCCAGTGGCGAATGGAGGCCACCTGGCTTTGAACCATATTTTGATTTTGTTGCCATTTGTATACTTTGGGAGCGAGATCGTTCACTTGAGTTATTTTGTTCTTGCTGTCCCTCATCGTCTGATGAAACTTCTTCACTAGGTGGTTGCTGTGTTACGACGGGAGGCTCTTTATTCTGGCGATCCTCGCGTAGAGGAGGTTCAACTGTTTTCGGAGGTTGCGTTTCGGAAATGCTTTCTGCAAGTAGACATGAAAGACAAAATACATACACATACGCAACTGACACATTTTTGATTAAAATAAAAACAAACCTTCTTCTTCCTCCTCCTCTTCCTCTTCTTCACCACTGACATCGCCACCTCCCATTTTCCTGGCCAATGCCAATTGAGTTTGCCGTTCTATTTCTCTGATGTCTTCAATTGTCAAACCGTGCCATTCATCTTGCCATGCCCATGCTTGGCGATGGGCACGGACCATTGTTTTTCGCAGCGCGACATCGTGAATGAACTTTTCCAGTTTGGTCTGCATACCCCAGTAGCGGAACTCCACTCGACATATTTTGTAGGCGCACATCAAGGACATATTTCTGGCAGTGGGCTGCTTTTTGCCTTTTACTTCGCGCCAATATTTCTCTAGCCAATCATCTTGCAAAGGACCCCTTCCGGTTTTTTCCGATACAAATAACTTGGGATCTTCTTCCTTAACGTAATCTCCACCGGTTAGTTGATCCTTAACAATATCAATCGTATCTGAAAAAAAAACATAATTCTAAAAATACTAGCTCTTGACTTGTGACTTGAACTTACCGATAACGCGATTCCTCAGTTCGCTGCTACTCAATTTGAAAACATTTTCCTGGTAGCCGTTGTCGGGAAAATAGTATGTCTCAATATCAAGCATGAATTTTTCCACGAAGGGACAAGTGTAGCGGGTTCGAGTATATGGATAAGCATTCCATGCCTCTTCTTCAACTGTTAAAGCGCTTTTTGGTAATAAACCTAGGGACGTGACAAACAAATCAATTAAATGATTCATCTGTGCACAACAGTTTCAAATTGTAGACACTGGTTTGTAGGATTTTTTTAGAAAATTGGACCAACTTTGTCATTTATTTACAAAGAAGTTTTCTACTAAGCGAAACCAAAAAATTATGTATAACAGGCCTAATGAACTTCCAAGAAAGTCAAGTCACGAGGAAGACATAAATGGGATAATTTAACAACAATATTTATGAGAAATTTGAGTAAGGAAAACTCAAAATTTTGATTGTAGTGAAATCTTATGAAAATCCGTCCAAAGATAGAACTTAACCCAGCTGCGAGCTAAATAACATATTTTGTGCATTCGCTGCCTGATTGCTAATGCTCAGATATTGATTGCTTGTTTTTTTTAACAAAACGAAGAAAAATTGGCCGCTTGCGCTTGAACAAACTTCTGGCTCAGCTTTGTTGTAATCACTTGCAACTAATCTTCTTTTTTACTTTTTGAATGTCCGGCGATCTTTTTTTGTGAAAACCATTTTTAATTTGGAATTGGTATGGCCTATTGTTTTGTTTTTTGCAGAACAAAGTTGCAAACTCGCTAATTCTTTACTTTTATACCCTCCACATTGGAAAGGAGGGTATATTTACTCTGTCATTTCGTTTGTAACATCCCTAAATATTCGTCGTAGATCCCATAAAGTATATATATTCATAATCAGCATAAAATTCTAAGTCGATTTAGCGATGTCCGTCTGTCTGTTTAAATCACAATACAGTCCACATTATTTGACGTAGAGCTTCAAAATTTGGAAGAACAATTTGTATTGTGTCTAGGATGGTTTGAATTGAAAATGAAATGAAAATGACACGTCGGTCCACGTTTTGGTATAGTCCCCATATAACGTTACCTCCCGATATCCAGTATTTTGATTATTTTTATCACATTTTTTCATGCATTTTTCTAAAAATTGGTTTATGTAGGTCATAATGGGTTCTAGCTACGGTGGCGAAACATTATATGCATAGGTCCACGTTTTTGTATTGCCCCATATAACGGTACCTCCCGATATTCGGTATTTTGATGATTTTTGCCACATTTTTTTCACGGATTTGTCTAAAAATTGGAATGTGTTGGTCATAATGGGTTTTCGCTCCAGTGGCAGAACATTGAATTTCGAAGTCCATGTTTTCCTATAGCGCAGATATAACGAAAACCACCGATATTCGGTACTTTGATAATCCTAGTCACATTTACCAACGAAATTGTTTCGGATTTGGAATTTTAGAAGATTTTCTAGGGTTTTGATTTTGTGGTTTCTTAAAACAGCGGGCACAAATCAGCTGATTGCTGGCAAGTTTTTCTTGCAAGAGAAAATGAAACTACCATACCCTAAGAAAGAAGATGATATGCAAAAAAAAAAAAAAAAAAAAAAAAAACAGACGGCCAACAATCTTATAAAGTAGGACAGTTTGATTTAAAATCTTGAAACAAATTTACAAACGTACTTCTAGATTTAAAATTTGTGTTACAATTCACCTTATATGGGGAAAAAATTATACATTGCTAGGATAATTAAGACGAAATTGGTTATCACGAATTTTTCTACATGGTTCTCAATTGAATAAGAACTGTGGCCTGTACTCTCTCCACAAAAAAAAAAAAAAAAAAAAAAAAAAACATATGAATAAAGAAACGGGTGGACATGTATAGATCGATATAGGAAGCCTCTCTATGAAGATCATCAAGGCCATCTGGTATATGACAAACAAATGCACAACGGTAATGTGGCTTAGGGTATAATAAAATTGAGAAATATTTGCTCAAACATGTATTGAACACCTTTACCAAAAAAAAACTTACTTTTTATCCAGCCGGGTAAATGACTGCCAACATGATAGATTTTCTTCGTATACTGACCCTTTCCTCCGGGTCCATCGTCATACGGTTCATTAATAATAATTTCCACTCCGCTGCCTTCGCCATGACTTTCTTCTCGACTTTTTTTCTGTAAGATTTTGAAATTGAAATGTGAATTCCGCTAACGACTGGTTCATTTTGTCTTCTTACTTACCGCTATCATATACAACTGGGCTATGCGATATTCGTCCACAGTAAGTGGCAAAGGTATGTGGTATTCCTTAATTAACATCTTCGATACTTCCTTCTTTACGGATCAAGGAGAATTGTTGTGTTGGTTTTTTGGTGATTATTAACTATTGGACTAGCATCGTGTTCAGTGGAACGTTTAGTTAAAGGATTTCTGGAAAACAATAAAAAATTGTAAATGAAAATATATTTTGTAATAAAAAATGTTAAATATTTCGAAATGTTAAATCGGAAAATGTTTGTTGTATTTGTTCGATACCGTAAGGTTCTACACAGTAACAACGCTAATATTTTATGAGTCGACAGTTGATGCTTTATGCCAGCTTTGGCTTAGGTCACAGGTCATCAGAAGGTGACCAAATAACACCAACATAAAGAATTCCATTACATACCAATTACACAAACAACGATTAAATAGACTTTCGGCTGTTGCAGCGAACTAATTCGTAGAATTTAGAATTGTTTACTAATCAACGTTTTATGGAGATTTAAAAGAAATATTTTCCAATTGTTGCATGATATGCAAATTATTTCCCAAACGACATGGCGTCTTTCCTTCTTCCTGTTGTTGCACCCAGCGTTTTGCAAACCAACCATGCACTTGAAAGAAGAAATTTCATTGGGTGGTCGTCGCAGTCGTCTTCGCCTTACGCTGTACTCGTAACAACAATAATAATTCCATTTGGGTTTGTTGTTTTTTTATTTCCCAGCGCTAAAACAGAGAAGTAAGAAAGAAAACAGACTCAGCGGTTGCTAAAGATGACCTCATATCCGATGTGAACTGTGCATTTGAATGGCTTCCATTAGAACCGTTACACGCTGTCTGCTTTGCCCTCTCAGTTTAGTTCATGTTAAGGACGTGGTCGGTCATCTTGGTGGGATGTATGGTGAGGTGCCAATTTGTGGAATTAATTTCCCGATAACTGTGTGTTGGGGAAATTCTACCAAAATAATGCCTTGATTTCTGCTACGACGCCATATGGTGCCATTTGAAAGCTTTCTTCCGAGGCCAATTGAATAAGAAGGAAGAGAAACGGTGAGAAGTACGCGCATAGAGGTTTATTAGCACTATGTTCCCGCAAGCTGGACAGGGATTGTGATTGTGATAAATATTGTTGTAGGCACTGTATTTGAAATAAATCGTCAGTTGAACAGCTTTTGGCCACTTTCGGCCAAGCGAAGCAACTCTTTAGTCCTTTTCAGTCTATTTTCTTGCACTTATTGGAATTTCAATGGTTTTACCCCGAGCTCATTTTTCAATATTTGCGCATTAGTCCCACCGACCTATTTTATCTGTTTCCAGGGCCAATACACATTTTTCAACCAATGTGTCTCCAGTCAGCAACAATTTGGTAGGCGTTTGCGCTACTTTCAGCATTAACACTAATGATAGCCTTATACCCCCTACACTGTCAGTATCCCAAAACCCATGACAATTGTATAATTCTGCATCCAACTACAAAACCTAAAGTCACTGGTTCCAATCTTCGCGCCTGCAAAATAATAAATATGGGAACAATTTCCTTAAGGTTAGAATACATCAAACGCTTTTTAGAATGGCTTAAGTCATCGGCTGGCTTCTTCCAGAAATGAAAAAGGAGCTTTAGGTTGACTTAATACAATTTCAGCCCATAATTTATACTTGTTAACCCTACGCTCCAGCCGATGACTTAAGCGATTCAAAAAAGCGCTTGATGTATTCTCACCTTTATGGGTTTAACTAACACCTTTCAAAATATAATAATGTGGCAACGTTAGAAAATATCTACATGTTGCTATGTACTCCTGCCTGCTGTCATGCAGGAAATTGTTGCTTGATTCTGTTACTGACTGCCATTCTGGTTGTCGTCGTAGCTCTTGCAAAGCTGTCTCAACCATAAAGACGAGCGATGACTTTGTTTAACAATTACTTAATACCAATTCTACTGAGGCATGTAATTGATTTAATGGGCACTAGAACTACTTCTACAGCCATAGTGCCGCAGTTCCGCCTATGGTGCTGTTGGCAGTCGGAGCTCGTATCGCGCGCACACACACACAAACAATCACCAGAGCGAAAAAGTGCATGGATGAATAGCAACCAGCATGCCCAGTAATGGTGGTATGTGGAAAATTCATATGTAATTTGCTCTGCTATTTCTAAAGTCTCCTGTTCCTCCGGTCTCCGCTCTCTGCCACATGAGCGGAAGATAAAATCAATAGAAATATGAAGGCATAAACATTCACAGTTGTCGGCAAGCACAAGCACAACAGTGTGCTGCATTTCCAGCTATCTTCGTAATTAAAAGTGGTGGGAAAATAAAAATAAAACAAGAACAAAACGCTGCCACAAAACATAAAAGAGACAAACATAATAGTTCTACTGGGATGGGGCTGGGACTGTAGAAATTCTAATTATACCTAGTTACCTATTAAAAAAAAAGAATAATAAATTTTAGTTGGAAAATTATGAAAGGAGCTAAAAGTTCGTAGCCAAGGGGACCATTTTCACACTACAATTAATGAGAACACTATACCTTCTGCATTGTCAGTAAGCCAAGAAAAATGACAGCGGAATATCTTCATTATTACTAATAAGCCAAAAAACTAAAGAGTAATGGTAAGTACTTAATTACACGATAAAAATACACATTACAAATTGGATTACCAATACATTTATTAACAAGGATATGCAGCACGAAACTAGTTGCTATGGTTTGCCAACTGAACGCATTCCCTGCGACTGACCTTGTAAAATAATGGCTTGGCAGTCCGATTTGTAATTGGGTGTTTTGCTGGGCACTTCAAGTTACTCTATTCTGTAAAAAAACAGTAAAGAAAGTCCTAAAATCGGGCGGGCCGATTTTATGATACCCTACACCACTTTGCTAATTTAGTTGAGCTCCACACAACAATTAAAAGTTTTTATGGGAGAATTCAATCATACACCCTATGATTATAATTATAATTTAAAATTCAAAGGACTAAATATTCCGAAACATTTGTATCTTTTAAATTCGGACTTGTATTGCCCATTTGGTGAAAATTAATTTGAAATCAGATAAAAATATATATGGGAGCTATATCCAAATCTGAACCGATCTCGATAGAATTTGGCAAAGGTATTTCTGAGCTGCATTTGATATTTTTCCCTGAATATCGTTGTTACAGAGTGCACATTACTGCTGTGGAGGATAAAAATAACAAATCGGATGAACAATATATATGGGAGCTATAGCTATATCTGAACCGATTTCTATCAAATTTGGCATACTTATTTTCAGGCCTAATTTGGTTGTATGTGCAAAATTCCATACTATTCGGACTGATATTACACGTTTGGTGCACAATAAAAGACAAATCGGACGAAGATATATATATGGAGCTATATCTAAATTTTTACCGATTATCTCCAATTTCAATAGGGTTCGTCCTTGGGCTAAACAAATGTTGTTTGGAAAATTTCATTTCAATCGACTTTGGCTGTAGCAGTAGTTCTAGTGCCCATTAAATCAATTACATGCCTCAGTAGAATTGGTATTAAGAAATTAGGAAAAATAAAATCACCGTCTGACCGTTGTCATTGATCGGATATATGAACACATATATACGAGAGGCAAGAATTTTATACGCTCATCTATAAGGCTGGAGAAAGTATATATCATTTGATACGGTCAAAACGTGCCTCATCGAAATAACGGTTTTAGACCCTAGGTCCATTTGGACCAAATCCGTTTTAGGACATTTGGAGTCGATCTATGGATGTCCGTCCGTCCGTCTGTCTGTCTGGCTGATGCGCATGATAATTCACGAAGAGAGTATCCGATTTTTTTCCAAACTTGGTACATCATAATATTATTATCAAACTTAGATCGAGTTCGGAGATGGGCAATATCGGCATACTCCGTCTGGCATTTCCCCCACAAAATATCAAAAGTTGCAAAAAGGTTTTCACTGCACAGAAAGGGAAAGGATAATCCAATTTTGCTCCAAGTTTAAAAATCATAATATTTTCATCAGTGCTAGATCAGGTGTGAAAATGGACAATATCGTCCCGCCCCATCAAGTACCTCCTCCACAAAGTGTCAACATTTTGAATAATTATACCTCTCCAAATCAAACACAACAATATTTTTGTTAAGGTGTGGAGATGGAACATATCGGTCCACTTCTTCCGGTATATAAAGCTCATATAACGCGAAATTAAAATCCTATTCCATTCAGACTTGCCACATCTCAATATTTCTATCAACACAAGATCTGGTTTAAAGATGGTGGAGATCGGACCATTTCTTCTAATACCTCACCCACATAGGGTTAAAGGTTTAAAAAAGCGCTCAAAGAAAGCGAAATAAGCACAAACAATTTGGCTAACACAAGATATGTTGTGAAGATGATATATATCTGCGAACTCCTTCTGGTTCCTTACCCACAAAGAGTCAAAAATGTCAATACTTTTATCTGTCATAACTTGCGAAATAAGTCGGCGTTTCTTTACATCTAAATATTTCTCCAGAAACCTGAGATGACTATGGAATTAATGGTTTCGCATAAAATTGGACCAACATTTTTATCAGTGAGCCATTCATTCGTCCATAGAGGGTCAACAATTTGAATAATCATAACCGAAGTCAAAATATATTTGAATAACCGAATATTGGCTTGGGGTATAATTCTGTCGGCAAAACCGAACTATACTTTTTAACTTGTTTAGTGTTACGTTGAAATCTTATTAGCCCGATACAAGATCGTTGTTGTGCTACAAATACGTATGCTAAATGTCACCCTTTTTTCTTAAATATTGTGACCTCAATCATAATTAGAAGGCACAGACGGAATGTCGAACATCGTTAAATGTTAAAGGGCATTCAATGTTAAAGGACATTCATTCATAATTTGGAACTGAAGTTTTTTTAAATCGTGTTAACTCGAATAGATTCAAAATTGTAGTTACTTTGTTCCACCAGTACCGTCAAAATGTGGTCTCATTTCGGTACACATTTTCACAGTTCCTGTAAATCTCTATATTATACCTTCTTAGTACCCAAAAAATAAGATTTAAGAATCATAATTCACAAAACACTTTAACTTAACAGCAAAGCTGATTGTTTGACTTCAGAGTCATATCCCAAAAATTGGAGTGTTTAATATGTTGTTATACATTTACTATCTTGC